TAGCGTTCGTGGAGCGCTTTCCACGGCTCATTGAATCGTTCTGTGGTGTTGGCTGCAGGCTTGGCATCTGAAAAACCTGCGATTGGTTCTTAGTTCTAACACTTACTGGCTGTGTGAGTGGACAAAGTGCCTGAATTTTCTTCATCTGTCAAATGGGTGGTTCTATTCAAAGGGGTGTGGGGATGCTTGTGGAGCACCTTGAATATCCTGGTGCAAAGCGAGTGCTAGTGCACCCTAGCCAGTATTGTTGATGCTGTTTGTAACTCTGGCCTCGTGATTCTGTGGATGGGTCCACGGTCTTGTATCCCCGTTCCCGAGATGAGAAACATGTGACTCAGAGACAGCCTTTGTCCTGCCTGGAGGGGCCTGGCTAGTGGGTGACAGGCCATCCGGGGCTCCAGCTCCAGCCCGGTGCCTGACCCCAGGGTTGCTGAATATTCAGTAGGTCGCCGCTGCTCCATATTCAAAGGCCTTTGTTTGTGGTTAACAGCAGCTCTTTGTTGCTCTCCCGAGGGAGACGTGGCCTCCAGCCAGGGCTGCGACCCTCTCGCCTTCAGACCCCCGCCACCCGCCCCCATCTTTGCTTTAGGGAGCCACCCTTACTACTGGAAGTGTGTCACATCCTCAGGGCGTGCTGGGGCAGGGGAATGGAAGGTCGAGGGAGGTTCGTGGGCCTGCCCTTGGCCTGTGGCGGGGCTCCAGGCGCGTGTCTGTGTGTCATCTGCTGTGGGACAGCTGTTCCATTGTGTCCGGACCTGCCCATCAGAGAGGCGAAGACTGCAGATCTGCCCCAGCAAACAGCGGCTCGGAGCAGGGCGTGGGCTGGTGCCGCCTGCCCGGCGCCCCCTCGTCCTGTTAGCTGTAAGCGCGTCGGTGGAGCCCGCTGTGTGTGGCACCGTGCTGGGCGTTTGTACTATATGATCGCCTTTAATGCTCATAAGCCGCCCCTGTGCTGGGTCCCATCCTGAGCTTCAGCCTCTAGAATGATCCTTTAAAGCGGTCCAGCTCGGAGCCCTCAGTGGCCTCCCATCGGCCACGTCCACAGGTCCTGGTACAGCCCATGCAGTCTGGCTTGGGCCGGCCCCAGCCACCTCTGTGCCCTCCGCTTTTCCATTCACCCTGTCCCAGTTACCCGTTGTTGCTCAGCAAACTCCCCTGAACGTGCTGGCTGAAGCCCTTTTCTTGTTTCTGCTGATTCTGTGCATCAGGAAGTCCGCAGGGCGCGGGAGGCAGTTTGCTCTGCTTTGTGTCCTGTCTGCTGGGGCCGGAGTGTCCTTAATGTGGCGGTGCCCGGTGAGGATGACCTGGAGCGCTGGGGACTGGCTGCACTGACTCACTGGGGCCCTAAGCCTGGGACCTTGGTTCTCACTGTCAGCCGGTTCCTAGGTCGTCATCCCTGGAAGCTTGGGGGTTCTTCCTCTCCACGTGGTTGTCCCCATGATGCGGGGTCGGTGAGCCGAGGAGTCGAAAGAAAGATTTCTTAGACTCTCAAGATCTGGCAGTAGTGCTCTTTTATTTAGAGAATAGAGATAGAGTAGCATGGGGACAGGACCCATGGGCAGTCAGAGCTTCTGCTGCTGCCCCGAACTGAGGGTTAGGGCCAAATTTAAGGCATAGGTATGTGAGTTATCTCTTTATTAGTGCCCGTTTGTTCTGGCCATTTGGCGGTCCCACAACTTTTAGATAAGAATCAAACCGGATTGAGTAAATGGCAGAAGTCACCACTTGAATTTTATCCTCGGCTAAAGATAAAAGGAGGATTTGTCGGGGGGAGGGTCAGTTACATGAGGTTGCCAGACAGTTTCCAGAGATAAGGCCATCCCCCCTTCCTCCTGGCTCAGAGAGGGAGGCATCTTCACAGATAGAGGTTTCCCTTAGAAATGTAAATGTTTCCCAACAAGGGGCAAACAAATTCCAGAGAGGGAGGCATGGAGATTTCCTTTACAAATGCAATTGTCTCTGATCAAAGGGCAAACAAATTCCACTCCTTGGAGCCTGCTTCTTATCTGTAGTTTTAAAAGTAACCAGCCTAAAAATCCTCATCATAAACCATTTTAAAATTAAGCAGCCTAAAAATCCCCATCACCCACAGCATAGCTAGACTTCTTAAACGGCAGCCCTGGGCTCCCAAGAGCACAAAAGTGGAAGCTTCCAGGCCCTTGTAAGGCTTGGATCTGGAATTAGCAGAGTGTCACTCCTGTTGCCACCTTTGGGTAAAGCAAGTCACAGATCCAGCCTGGATTCAAGGGGAGGGGACCAGAGAAGGCTAGTGTGGTTCACTGGGGGCCATCAATAAAAGAGCCCACCAGGCTCCCATTCATTCACTCTTTTCCAGCCACAGAGGCCTCTATGTTCTTCCTCAAACATGCCGTGCAGCCCCTGCCTCAGGGCCTTTGCACTTGCTATTTCCCTCTCCCAGGATGCTCTTCCCCAAATATCCACAGGGCTCATGCCCTCCCTTTATTCAGCCTCAGCTTAATGCTACCATACCTGCCTCCACCTTGTGAAAAACAGTGCACCTTGCCCATCAACTCTGTCCCCTTCCCCCACCCTGTTGTTTTATTGCCCTTATCACCTCAGGGCATACTGTTTATTGCCTATTTATCGTCTGACCTTCCCCTGCCCCACCTTGGAATGTAAGTGCCCTGTGACTGGGGCGTTTGCTTTGTTCACTGTGGTATCCCTAGCTCCAGATCTGGCACACAGTAGATGCATTTGTTGAATGAATATTTGAGATGAGGAAACTGAAGCTCAGAGAGCTGAAGTAACTTTCCCAAAGATACACAGCTGATAATCGACAGAGCCAGGATTCAAACCAAAGCAATTTAGCATCTAACAGCCATAGAAGCTTTGCTGCCTGTGGGGTAATTGCTTAGGTAATTATGGCTGCCTCCTACCTCCTCTCCCTGTGTCCTGTCTCCACTCGGGGTGGTCTTCCCATGAATGAAATCGGATCAGGAATAAAACCCATCATGAATGTGGTATCCCTCACCTTCAACGGAAAGCCCTCATTTCTTAGACTGCTGCACAAGGCCGGCAGAACTGGGCCTCCAGCTGGGGCCTGATGTGTACGATGTGGGCTCGGCGAGCCGAGGAGTCAAAAGAAAGATTTCTTGGACTCTCACGGTCTGGCAGTAGTGCTCCTTTATTCAGAGAATAGCATAGCTGCAGTGGGTTGAGGGCAGGGCTAAATTTATAAGGCATGGATATGTGAGTTATTTCTTTACAAGACAAAGGAAAGATTATGTAAAACAAAGTCATTAAAATGGTATCAGTGTAGGTGGGGTCTGGTTATTTGTGGTCCTATAACTTCAGATAAGAATCAGATGGGATCAGGTGAGGATGTCCTGTGATTCCCAGAGGATGGTATAGATCCCTACGTAGGGCAGGTCACCTTGGACTTCTCTCCTTGGGGCAGGGGCAGCCTTGATCCTCATCAAGTATGGATTTTTGAGTCAGGCAGACCTGGTTCTATTTCCAGCATCCTTACTCACAGGCTCTCTAAGCATGGGCGAATTAGGAATGTCATCCATCCCTCCACCTACCTATCCACCCACCCACCCACCCATCCATGCATCTACCCTCCCACCCACCCACACACCCATCCATGCATCTACCCTCCCACCCATCCACCCACCCATCCACCCATCCATGCATCTACCCCTCCCACCCACCCATCCATCCACCCACCCACCCACCCATCCACCCACCCATCCACCCATCCAATATGTATTTATTGACTCCTGTTCTGAGCAAAGGACGTTCCTAGGTCCTGGGTTGCAATGGGGAGGAAATCATGGCAGTTCCTGCCCTCTAAGAACTTATTGTCTACTGGGGGAGACAGACGTAACAGATATGTTTTTCCGGATTGTGTAAGTGCTGTGAAGGACTTGTGGGGCGTGGGCTAATGTGTAACAAGTCCCCTGTAATAGTGCGGTGAGGCACGGACTTCCCCGAGGAAGTGACATTTGAGGAGGAGATATTAGGATAAAGAGGTGGGTGGGGCAGGCTCATTCCAGGCAGAGGGAACAGCTATGCAAAGGCTCCAAGGATGAGGGAACGCGGCCCATTTTAGAGTCTAAATGATCCTAAGGAATGTACGGTCAGAGGGCAGAGAGCCTGAGGTGCAGGAGGGTGGGCAGGAGCTGGAGCATGCAGGGCTGTGAGGGCCTGGGCAAGGGTGTGGGGAGCCCGTCACTGACTTTATTTTGTCATCTGTAAAATGGAGATAATAATGGGACCTACCTTGGTGTGTGAGAGCATCTGTGGGCAGCTGGGCGACTGCTGGCTGTAGGCTGGTCTGGGATGGTCTCAGCTCGGCGGTCATCTCTGCTCCACGTGGTTTCATCCTCTGGCAGGTTGGCTTAGGTTTGTTCACATGGCTGCAGCCGGGGTCCAGAGAGATGCAGAAGCCAGTAAGGCTTGAAACTGGCATGATATCACTTCCGCTGCATTCTGTTGGTCCAGGAAGATCACAGGGCTAGTCCAGACCCCATGAGTGCGTGTGAGGTTCTTCGCACAGGGCCTGGTGCACAGGAAACGCTATTCTTGTTGTCGCTGATGGTCTTATCGCTCTACATTTGCATAGCACTTTATGCTTTTCCAAGTTTTATCCCATACATCATTGTACCCATGAGGATAGTTGGGGCAAATATTACTAGCCCCATTTGACAAATGAAGAACAGAGTTAGGTAACTGCCTAAGGTCACACAGTTAGCTAGTGGCCACAGCGAAACCCTAGGCCCCAGATATCATGTAACTTAAAGTGTATTTGCAAGTACATCTGCTGAAAATGAATCCGTTTGCAGATGCTTTCCTCCTCCTGAGCATCATCCTGTAAATAAAATAATTCAGATACAAATGCTTTGGTCAGTGACCTAGGCTAGGAATTGTCTGCAAGGTTTTGATATGGCCTCTGAGATCGAAATCTCCCATACAAGTTTTGATTTTTGGCTCCCAAGCTCCCAGGGTGAATGATGGTTTTCTTCTTTCTTACGCAGACAGCCTCTCTTTGGACTCCAGTTACTTTTCTTCTCCTCCTATGAATTTCCTTCAAGAATTACCAAGCTACCGGTCCATCGCACGCAAGAGGACGACCATCCTTTCCCGAGACAAGCAAAGTGACACATTGCTGAAGCCGACAGACTCCTACAGCTCCCAGCTGGAGGGCGGAATCACTGAAAACCTCAATAGCCAGTCCATTCGAAAGTATGCACTGAACATCTCTGAGAAACGCAGACTAAGGTCCGTTCAATAGCCGTCTGGAAGGCATATGATGTATGTTTTGGGCAGAGGTGTTTCAGGCATGGAATGTATTTCCTGACGAGTTCACGTAATTAAAAGATTATTACTTAGGGTAAGCTAAGCTGCTGTGACAAAGTGACCCAAATATGGAATAGCTCAATATGTTAGAAGTTTATTTCTTACTCACGTAAAAGTCCTGGGTTCAGGTCGAGGGGGAACTTTCCAGTCATTTAGGGACCCAGGCTCCTTCTATCTTGTGGCTCGGCAGCCCCCAAAGCCTCATTGTTGTCTGCAGTCACTCCCTGTTTCTGCCTCCCCCCAGCCCTTACCAACCTCTGATCTACTCTCTCTCTCTATGGATTTGCCATTCTGGATGTTTCATACACAGTCACGCACCGCCTAACAACATCTTGGTCAACAGCAGGCTGCATATATGATGGTGGTCCCGTAAGATTAGTACCATAGTGCCCAGGTGTGTAGTACGCTATGCCATCTAGGTTTGTGTAAGTGCCCTCTATGATGTTTGTCTAATGACAGAATCCCTAATGACACATTTCTCAGGATGTATCCCCGTCATTAAGCAACACGTGGCTGAACATGGAATCCTCTAATGCTTGACCTTTTGTGTCTGGCTCCTCTCACTTAGCATAATGTTTTCAAGGTTCATTCGAGTTGTAGCATGTGTCAGAACATCATTCCTTGTTACAGGTGAGTAATATCCCGTTGAATGGAAACACCTCGTTGTGTTTATCCAATCGTCCGTTGATGGACATTTGGGTTGTTTCCACCTTTTGGCTGTTGTGAATAATGCTGCTCTGAACATTCATTTACAAGGTTTTCATTGAGACCCTGTTTTCAATTCTTTTGGCGTATCTACCTAGGAGTGGAGTTGCTGGGTCCTATGGTACTTCTAGGTTTAACTTTTTGAGGCATGGCCAAACTTCTCCCCAGCAGCCGTGCCATTTTGCCTTCCCACCAGCGGCGTGAGGGTCCAGGTTTTCCACATCCTCTCAGCTGGGGTTCGGTTTGATGCCAAGGCTTGGCGATGCTGCCGTTGTCATTGTCTTGCTCGTTTTTTTGTGCAGGGACATTCAGGAGACCCAAATGAAGTATTTATCTGAGTGGGACCAGTGGAAACGGTACAGCAGCAACTCTTGGAAGAGGTTCGTAGAGAAGGCTCGGGAGATGACCTCCCACCTGGAGCTGTGGCGGGAGGACATTCGCAGCATCGAAGGTACCACACACCCCACGCTCTGCGCGTTCTCCTCCGCAGCACTCCTCCGTGCCTGGGGAACGAGGACCGCTTCGTTTTCCCTAACCTCTAGCTGAAATCCAGCAGTTCCTTCCACGATGAGTGGAGCAACAGCACAGTTAGGATTAGCAGAACCTGTGTGTGTCTTTGTCACCAGGAAAATCACAGATGTTTTTCTGTCCCTTCCAGTTGTAGGAGTTATCTTGGAATGCCCACCACTACTTTAAAATTACAGCTGTTACCCAATCTGCCACCAGATCTTGTTATTTAATGGGCTAATGAAGATGCTCGTGTATGAATCTTTCACGAATTTAGTTTTTAATATTTTGAGAATCATAGGTCCATTTGTATTTTGTGCATTTAAAAACATTATCCTGGAGCTGACTTCGTGGCACAGTGGTTAAGTTCATGCGCTCTGCTTGAGCGGCCCGGGGTTCGAAGGTTCGAATCCTGAGCGTGGACCTAGCACCACTCGTCAAGCCACGCTTAAAGGCTCATTTAAGCCACGCGTAAAATGGAGGAAGATGGGCACAGATGTTAGCTCAGCAACAATCTTCCTCAAGCAAAAAGAGGAAGATTGGCAATAGGTAGTAGCTCAGGGCCAATCTTCCTCACCAGAAAAAAACAAAATAAAACAAAATGTTATTCCAAGATGGGTTTCGTTAGGCTTCACCAGCACCCGTGGCCCTGAAAATACTGAGAATCCCCACTTGTGCATAATGGTGAGAATGGGGGTGCACTGTTGCATTAGTCAGCTCGAGCTGCTCTAACAAAATACAATAGACTGAGTGGCTTACACAGCAGACATTTATTTTCTTACCTTCTGGAGATTGGAAGTTCAAGGTCAGCCCACCTTCTCCCTGGGTCCTCGTGTGACCTCTTCTTTGTGTGCACGTCAAGGGAGAGGATGGAGAGCGCATGTCCTGGGGCCTCTTCCCACAGGGGCATTCCCCCCGCCCCCAGGACCTTATTTAAACCTTCTCACCTCCTGAAGGCCCATTTCCAAATACTGTCACCTGGGGGTTTAGGGCTCCAACAGATGAAGCTGGGGAGGAACACAATTCAGTCCATAGCAAGTATGCCCAAACCAGAAGTTGTGCCAACATATAAAATTAGAAAAAAAAACCATTTAAACATTTGGGTGACATAGCAGAACCAGGGGAAGACGCGTCTTAGGGTTACGTAGTTTCTGCCATAAAGCAAAATAGTTTACAAGCATCTCCTCAAAACTGCTTAAATGGAAATTTTGTAAAGTTTGTAAGGAATGTGGCAGAATAAATGGGAGAAATTCTTGTCCCCAGTATTACTATTTTAAGACCTGTGAAATGCCATTGGTAATCTGTTCCGTGAACTACCTTTTTCTGTTGTTGTTTTCTTAGGAGAATATGAACATAATGTCCAGGGGATTTCATAGGCTCACTTAAAACTTAACCATCCGGGACTTCTTCTTTTGAGACCTAAGTGTAACGTCACGTTTGGAGCAAAATAATAGGAGCCTTCCCTTTACTGAGTCTTTACCATGAGTAGGCATTGAGTTAAACATTTTACTTATATTATCTCAGATAGCCTTTCATATAGGCATTTATCATTTGCATGGCTCAGAGAGGTTAATATACTTGCCCAAGTTCACTCAGCTAGGATGAGGCAGACCCGGGATTTGAGCCCGGCCAGTCAGGCTTCAGAGCCCAAGGTTTTAGCCGCCGCGGCCAACTTTCCCTCTTATTAAGTGGTGGCCTCTCTGGAGATTTTCATTCAGCACGTGGCTTGTGTGTTGGAGAATGGTTTCTCTCTGGGGAACTGGGATCTTGATTCTCTCTTCAGTGGCTCCACTCCTGTGTTTTCTTGGCTGGCCAGGTACTCCTCTGGCAGGAAGTGAAGATGGAATCATCAAGCTCCTTGCTCTGGCCGGGTTTCTGGGTTTAGAGAGAAGCTAAGACTGTGGGTCTCTTATATCTTCAGTCTCAGATGAGTTCTTTGACCCCATCAAGAGCAAGCAGACACCATCACTCTTCAGCGTGCTTTCTGTCTGTCCTTAGGAATTTAATCATTATCTGGTGGAAAGCTGGTTTTTTTTTTCTTTGCAAATCCATTAAGGTAATTCACCACATTAACAGAATAAAGAGGAAAAATTGTATGATCATTCCAACGGCTGCAGAAAAAGTATCGATAAGATTCACTTCTCATAGCGGATAAGAAATAGATGGGAACTTTTTTAATCTGGCGAAAAATGTCTATAAAAATTCTTCAGCAAGCATCATACTTAATGGTGAAATATGGAAAGCTGTTCCCCTGAGATGGAGAATGAGAAAAGGGGTGCCAATTATGACTGGTTCTGTTCAGTATCATCCTGGAAGTCCTACCCAGTGCTCAATGTTGGGGAAAAGGGAGAATGACTGGAAAGGAAGAAATAAAATGTCTTCTTTTTGCAGAAGACGTGATTTATCTGTAGAAAATAAAAAAGACAAACTATTAGAATTAATATGTGGATTTAGTAAGGTTGCTACGTACAAGATCTATATATAAAACCAATTGTACTTCTATATACCAGCAACAAACATTTAGAAAATGAAACTTTGAAATGATACAATTTACAATAGCATCAAACAACATCAGATACCTAAGAATACATCTAAAGAAAAATAAGTTATAATTCTGCACAGAAAACTACAAAATACTGTTGAGAGAAATTAAAGAACCTAAATATACCATGTTCATGGATCACAAGACTCACTCTTGTAAAGATGTCACTTGTCCTCAAATTGACCTAGATATTCCATGTAATCCCAATCAGAATCTCAGCACGTTTTGTGTATGTGTGTATGTGTATATGTGTGACAATTAATATGCTGATGCTAAAATTGATATGGAAATGCAGAGGACCAAGGATACCTGAGGAAGAACAAAGCTGAAAGACTTATAGACTCATCTATCAAGTATTATTATAAGTATCCAATAATTAGACAGTGTAGTATTGATGCAAGGATAGACAAATAGACCAACAGAACAGAACGGAGGATTCAGAAACAGATTCATACGTTTATGGTCAATTATAAAAAGCACTACTTCAATTCGCTGAGGCAAGAATACCATTCTCAATAAATGGTGCTGAGTCAGTTAGATATTCAAATGAGAACAGAGAAATATTGAGTCCTCCCTCACACCATTCTCAAATGACCAATGCAAGATTGAGTGTAGATTTATGAGTGAAAGTTTAAACCGTTAGATCGTAGAACGTTAAAGCCAACTGTAGAAAAAATAAAATATTTCTTCCTCCTTCCCCCACCAAGATTCCTCCAACTTCAGCCCTCTGTGTCTGATTGATCTACACTGGATAGTGGGTCAATACTCCTGGTCAGTGATGTCTGGATTTCTTTTTTCCAGGGAAATTTGGCACTGGGATTCAGTCCTATTTCTCCTTCTTGCGGTTTCTGGTGTTGCTGAATTTGGTGATATTTCTGATCATCTTTATGCTGGTTTTGCTCCCAATGTTGCTCACCAAATACAAGATCACCAACAGCAGCTTTGTGCTCATTCCCTCCAAAGACATAGGTGAGTCTGAGGCTTGGTTTCTATGAAGAGTGTTCTTTTCACCGTGTACCTCATTCCGATGCTTCCTTCTCTAGGAATCTTTATATTCTAAGCCTTGGGTGACTCTATTCGTCAGGACAGGCTAGGTTATGCTGCGGAAACAAATGACCCCATAACTCTTGGTGCCTAATAACCACAAAGATTTCTTTCTCGCTCACCGTATGTGTCCATCACTGTTTGGCAGTCGCTTCATTCCATGTTGTCTTCACTCTGGAGCCCAAACTGATGGAGCAGCCTCTGTCTGGACCATTGACGGTCACTGTGTCCAAAGGAAAAAGCCACAGCCAACGTGCTGGCTCCTAAAACTTCCACCTGGAAGACATGACGCACGTCATTTCTGCCACAGCTCATTAGCCGGAGCACGTCACTCGGCCACTCCTGAGTTCAGCAAGGCATTTGGGAGGAGCGCTACAGGGCAGAAATGTGGACTGTTTAGCAAACATGATACAACCTGCTCCAGTGCCCTTATTCCAAGACTTTTATCTCCAGTAACGGTGATGCTCACCTCCACTGATTAAACTCCAGTCACGTGCCAGACACCATGGCAAGTGCTGGACCTGTGGCTCAGTGAACTCTCAACCCAGGTCAGACCTTCTGGGCGTCCCGTTTATTCGAATGGGGAGAGTTTCTGTCATTCCACCGACATTTGTTGATTACCCTGGAGTCCCGGGCTCTGTTCGAGGGCTCAAGGTGGATGGGCAGAGTCGAGCCAGGCCTCTCTAAGTCCTGAGGCCTCTTGCTTCTCTTGTCACATAACCCCATTCTGCAGAAGAATCAGTGATTCCTCTAGAATCGCTTCATGGCCCTAAACATTCTTCCTCATCATATTTGTTTCTTTTTAAATTCTATTACACTTCAAAATAAAATAAGAATAAGGGGGAAACGCTGACTTCATTCCGGGCCCTCATTTTGAGTGCCCACTGTATGCCAGATGCCGCCTCCCCATTTCTAATGCGTCCGTTTTACAGATACGCATCCCCTGCTGCTGTGTGGAAACCCTGGGTTCAGTTTAAATAATTTAAATAATGAGTTTAAATATTTAAATAATGAGCTGGTTGTTCATTATTCAGATAACACCTCATTATTTAATATTTAGTTCATTAATAATAAATGCTTGTTTTAAAATTATAAATAATTGAAAACAATATGAATTCTGTTTTTTAATATAGAAAATTTTAAAAGTATAAATTATTATTTAAGCAATACTCATAATTAAAAAAAAATTTTTTTTAAACATTGGCCCTGAGCTAACACCTGTTGCCATTCTTCCTCTTTTTGCTTGAGGAAGATTGTCACTGAGCTAACATCTGTGCCCATCTTCCCCTGTTTTGTATGTAGGATACAACCACAGTATGGCCTGATGAGTGGTGCGTAAGTCTGTGCCCGGGATCCGAACCTGCGAACCCCAGGCTGCCAAAGTGGAGCATGCAAACTTAATCACTACACCACTGGGCTGGCCACACACACGTTTTTTTTTTAACTTACCTAGTAAACTTTGTCCCTTAAGGAAAGGATCAGAAGTCCCTCTCTTCCTCTTGTGACCTTCCTTCCCTTCGTCATGCCTTCAACAAGTGTCTATTGAGCACTTACTATGTGCGGGGCTCTGAGTCAGACACAGGCTACAACAGGGTCACCACACCTGCACCCACAGGGTGAATGTGCTTCCTGCCCTGTTGACTTTGCGTTTGGCCATGGGACTCACTTTGTCTGGTGCAGTGTTAGCTTGAAATGGCTTTGTGTGGTTGGCTTGCCTTTTGACAAGAGCCAGGAGGAGAGTGTCCCCTGGTAGCCACTGCCTCTGCAGCCTGGGCCCCAGAGTGAGGTCACGTGGAGAGACCTGAGCCCAGCTAGAAGCCTGGAGTCCATCCCGGCTCAGCCTGAATCGGCTGAATGAACTCCAACTGCAGATCCATGAATGAGAAAGTAAATATTTGGTATGTTAAGTCATTGAGACTTTGAGGTTATTTGTTACACAGCAATAGTTGACTGATACAGAGGAAGCAAATTAGTTATTCAAGGAAAAGGTAGTGTCATTAAGATTGATATTCAAACAATTTCTTGGTTAATTATACGTATGTAAATATATGTATTTTTCGAATGAAGCCACATGGTTGTTTACACACACATAGAGATCTTTTAAAATTAGATGTGCTTAAAATGAAATAATAATTATATCAGTCGCATATTCCAAAACACGTGCAAATGTGAACCCAAAGACACAAAATACTGATACAAGCAGAAAACATTACCATAAGTGGACCCACAAACAAAATGTATAGAAGAAACATATATCCCCAGATGTTTTGGGGAAATAGTGAAAGGGGAAAATGCTGTTGTACTTGATGCATTGGGGTTTGGACTGCAAATAGAAAATCACCAACTTGCAAACACATCCGTACACAATTCTGTGTGACATATCTAAACGTATATGCGTATACACGCACGTATACACAAATGATGATGGACGAGTCGCAGAGACTGAAACTATCCCACTGATGTTCTTGTTTTTGTTTTTCACAGATATCCAGTGCACAGTGTATCCAATAAGTAGCTCTGGACTCATTTACTTTTATAGTTATTTCATAGACTTGCTCTCTGGCACTGTAAGTATTTAACATAATTCTGCATCCTTAGTATACCGCAAATAAGTTAAAGATCAGTTGCCTGAATGTCTGCAGTAAGAGTCAAACACAAGTGTCTGCAAAAGTATCAGTAAAAGAATTTGCCATGACCTCAGCAGCAAGGATTGCGTTCACCTGCACCGCGCCCTGCCCCCCCCAGAATATAGAGGAAATAAGCTTTGTCATTTCAGCAAGGCCTTTCTCTAGTCCCTGCCACCTTCGTATTGACCTGCAATGAAATACTGAGTTGCCCCATAGAAAAAAGTTTCAGTGAAAACAAACCCAGATAGAATTTATTTAATTTTTCTGACATTGAAAAACCTTAGCATTGGAGGTCCTAGGCTGCCTGGATGAAAGCCATGGGTCTTCTCCCCAGAAATTACACATACCGACAAGTGTGATGCACACGTGCACACACACCGCATTTGTACACATACATACGCATTCCCTAAAATCCCTTAAAAGTCTACTAATCACAGGTTAACACCCCTTGCTCTCAGGTGGAGTTAGGGGCCTGCCCGGTGGCACGGTGGTTAAGTGCGCACGTTCTGCTTCTTGGTGGCCCGGGGTTCACCGGTTCGGATCCCGGGTTTGGACATGGCACGGCTTGGCACACCATGCTGTCTCAGGCGTCCTACATATAAAGTAGAGAAAGATGGGCACGGATGTTAGCTCAGGGCCAGTCTTCCTCAGCAAAAAGAGGAGGATTGGCAGCAGATGTTAGCTCAGGGCTAATCTTCCCTCAAAAAAAAAAAAACAAATAAAGTCGAGTTAATCTCATCCTTCTTATGGTAGTTCCAAAAGGTTTTTTTCAATCTTCTAAAAAATGATTTTTTGGTGAGCTTTCGTTTTTTTATCCCACTTTTTTCAGCAAATAAGATTGCAGCTATGAATAGTGGCCATCTCTGCCCCCTAGACCAGGATTTCTCAGCCTTGGCGCTATTGACATTTCAGGTCCAGTAACTCTTTGCTGTGGGGCCGTCCTGTGCACTGTAGGATGTTTAGCAGCATCGCTGGCCTCCACCCACTAGATGCCAGGAGCAGTTCCGCAGTTGTGACAAACCAATATGTCTCCAGACTTTTCCTAGAGGACAAAATCGCCCCTGGTTGAGAATCCCTCCTTTAGGTGTTTAGAAAATACAAATATATAAAAATATGTGTTCTGAAAGTTATAGTCTTAAAATGCCTTGTCATTGAACTTTCGCTTTTCTGAGTAGATAAGTAGAAAGCTTTGAATTTGTCTACTGCATTTGATTTTGAGAAAAAGTGGTTTTCACATCTCTGATCTCATGTTTTCCTCAAAACAACTGAGAAGAATTGTCAGGCGGGTGTTAAAATGTCCATGATGCAAATGAGAAAACTGATAGTATGCAAATATCCAGTATGCAAATAAGAAAATGGATACTATGCAAATGAGAAAACTGATGCTATGCAAATAAGAAAACTGATACTATGCAAATATCCACTATGCAAGGAGACAAGAAATTCAGTGACTCACCCAAGGTCACACTGCTAGTGAAAGCAGAGTGGAATCAAATCCCAGAGCTACTGTTAACCCCATTTCTTTAGATTATATCCCACAAGAGGAATTTCTGTTCGTAGGTCTCCACACACCATAACCTTATTCTTTATAGGAAAGATTTCATAGGAGACTTAGATGCACTTAATCATAAATGATCATAAATGTTCAATGAAGTATGCATGATAAAGAACAGCCTTGTCCGAAAGAATTTTCTACAATGATGAGAATGTTCTGGATCTGTGCTGTAAAATGCAGTGGCCACTAACTCTCGTGCACTTGAATGTGGCTTGTGTGACCGAGAAACTGAATTTTAATTTTATTATTAATAATTTAAGTGGGCCTAAGAGAGAGAGAGCCAGAGAGATCCCACAGTGGTTTGTCTTTGCTAAGTACAGTTGAGCCAAGCTCATTATCAAATCAGAAAAATTGCTTTCCAGGCCCCGTGGACCTTTGCCCTGTAATTCATATTGTTTTGAGAGATAGATTGATTATAGCCCTGATATCAGCCTGGGGCAATATGAACAGGTTTCAAGTCATTGGGCAAGTTTTTATGGCCCATGTGCCCTGCCTTCAGGAGAGTTAAAAAGAAGATAGCGTCTTCTGTTTCTATGTTTCTTTTTTCTATTAAAAAATTTACTTAATTGCACAGTGTAAAAATATATAGTAGTCGTAAAAAATATAGAATTTATAGAATAAAAATTGAAAGTACCCCTCCCCTGAGGCCACCAAACTTTTAACACCATGGTTCATAGCCTTCTTGACACTTCTCATGCTTTGACATGGTCTTGCTTAATATTTTATAATATGGATTTTTGACAATCTAGCTAGTGCCCTGTTGGTGGACATTCAGATTGCTTCCATTTTCCCCCTTTATAAACAATGCTGTAGTGAACATCTATGTCCCGCCTATACCATTTCTGCTTTCTGTGTGTGTTCTCTTCCTCACTCTCCTGGAATTTTCCTGCTATTGAGGAGGAGTTTGAGGTGTTCAGTTATTCCCACCATAAGAAGTCATGGACTTTGCTTCACTGTATTTTCACATAGAGCACCCTTGGTGTCTTTTTTTTGATTTTTGTTTGTTTTGCTAACAGCTGTATTGAGATCTAATTCGCACGTCCTACACCTCACCCATTTAAAGTGTCCGATTCAATGGCTTTTACTATATTCACAGAGTTGTGCAGCTATTACTGCAATCAGTTTTAAAGCATTTTCATCACCTCAAAAAAAAACCCTATACCCTCTATCACCTACCAGTCCCCTCTAAGCAGCGCTAAGCAACCATTAATTTGCTTTCTGTCTCTGTAAATGCTTCTTCCCGACGTTTCCTATAAATGGAATCATATCCTATGTGGTCTTTTGTCCCTGGCTTCTTTCACTGAGCATGTTTTTAAGGTTCATCCGTGGTGTCGCATCTATCAGTCTTTTCATTCCTTCTTGTGGCCCAATAAGATTCCATTGTGTGGAAATGCTACATTTCGTTTATCTGTTCATGATGGACGTGTGGCTTGTTTCCACCTTTTGGCTGTTAGGAGTAATGCTGCTACGAACATTCCTGTATCAGTTTTTGGGTGGACATATCTTTTCATTTGTTTGGGGTCTATAGCTAGGGGTGGCTTCACTGGGTCCAACGGTAATCCTATGTTTAACTTTTTGACGGACTACCGGACTTTTCCAAAGTGGCTGCACCATTTTACATTCTCAGCAGCAGTGCATGAAGATTCTGGTGTCTCCACATCCTTGTCAGCACTTGCTGTTATCTGACTTTTTGATTGCAGCCATCCTATTTGTGTGAAGTGGAATCTCTTTGTGGTTTTGATTTGCATTTCCCTAATGAGTAATGATGTTGAGCGTCTTTTCATGTGCTTCTTGGCCATTTATATATCTTCTTTGAATAAATATTTGGATCCTCTTTCCAGTTTTTAGTTGGATTATCTGTCTTTTTATCGTTGCGTTATAAGAGTTCTTCATACATTCTAGATACAAGTACCTTATCAGATATATGATTTACAAGTATTTTCTCTCATTCTCTGGATTGTCTTCTCATTTTCTTGATAGTGTCCTTTGAAGTACAAAAGTTTTTAATTTTGATTAAGTCCAATGTGCTTTTTCTTTTAATGTTTGTGTTTTCGGTGTCATATCTAAGAATTTCATTGCCAAATCCAAGGTCATGAAGATTTAGCTTTTCTTCTAAGTGTTTCACAGTTTTGTTTTGTTTTTTTTCAAGATTGACACCTGAGCTAACATCTGTTGCCAATCTTCTTCTTCTTTTTTTTTTCCTTCTTCTCCCCAAAGCCCCCCAGTACATAGTTGTATATTCTAGTTATAGGTCCTTCTGGCTGTGCTATGTGGGACGCCACCTCAGCATGGCTTGATGAACGCTGCTAGGTCCACACCAAGGATCCAAACTGGTGAAACCCTGGGCCGCCAAAGCAGAGTGTGAACTTAACCACTGGGCCACAGGGCTGGCCCCAAGAGTTTCATAGTTTTGGCTCTTACATTTAGGTCTTTGATCCATTTTAAGTTAATCTTTATATATGGTGTAAGGTAGAATTCAGCTTCATTTTTTGGCACGTGGCTCTCTAGGTGTCTCAGCACCATTTCTTGAAAGGCTGTTCTTTCCCCTTATCAAAAATCGGTTGACCATAGATGTATGGGTTCATTTCTAGACTCAGTTCTCTTCCATCGATCTGTCTGTCTGTTCTTATGCTGGTACCACCCTGTCTTGATTACTGTTGTTTTGTAGTGAGTTTTGAAATTGGGATGTGTGAGTCCTCCAACTTTGTTCTTCTTTTTCAAGACTGTTTTGGCTATTCTGGGTCCCTTGCAATTCCATATGAATTTTAGGATCATCTTGTCAGTGTCTACAAAGAAGCCAGCTGGGGTTCTGATAGGGATGTGTGGAATCTGTAGATCAATTTGGGGACTATTGCCATGGATCTCCTGATCCATGAACATGGAATTTTTTTCCATTTAGTTAAGTCTTCTTTAATTTTTTAACCCTGTTCTGTAGTTTTAAGAATATAAGATTTACACTACATTTAAGTCTGTTCCCGAGTATGTTATTCTTTTTGCTGTTATTGCATGTGGAATTGTTTTCTTAATTTCATATTTGGATCATATACCTATGTATTTTTTTTTGCTTTGGTGAGGAAGATCGGCCCTGAGCTAACGTCTGTTGCCAATCTTCCTCTCTTTTTTCACTTGAGGAAGATTGTCACTGAGCTAATGTCTGTGCCAGTTTTCCTCTATTTTGTATGTGGGTCTCCACCACAGCATGGCTTGATGAGTGGTGCAGGTCTGCACCCAGGATTGGAACCTGCGAACCCTGGGCCACTGAAGCGGAATGTGCAAACTTAACCACTACGCCACCAGGACAGCCTCCTATACCTGTGTATTTTTAATGCTCAGGGTTTGTCTGTGTTTTATTCCCCTAACACTAACTGAGCACCCTGTATACTGCTGGGATTGTTCCAGTCTCTGGGGATTCAAGGAGGAGCAGTGATGCTGGGATATGAGCTCCTTGAGGCAGATGCTGGTCTCCTGGTCCCCTGCAGTGAGCTCACCAGTCTGACCTCAGTCTTTGGCTCTGTTTCAGGGTTTCCTGGAGGAGACCTGCCTCTTTTATGGACATTACACCATTGACGGGGTGAAGTTTCAGACTTTCACTTATGATTTGCCTCTGGCTTACTTGTTAAGCACAATTGCCTACCTGGCCCTGAGCCTTCTTTGGATAGTGAAAAGGTAAAATTTATCTTGTCATTGTGTTCTCCTTGAATTACTCTTGAAGGCTGGAGTTTATTGGAGGTCCGTGGACTCTGGGAGCCCTTGCTCAAGGTTGGGCAGAGTCCAGGGGTGAACTTCCTGGGGAGAGGTTCATGAGTGTGTTGGAGGCTGAGGAGACCTGGAGGGAATGGAGGCAGGATTTGGGAGCTGGCGCAGCAGCCTGGAGTTTTCGGTCAATCATTGTTGCACACATTTGCCAATGCACACATTCGCCAGTGCCATCCCCTCAACCTTGTGTTTGATCCGGTGTTTGTGGTACCAGGTCTCTATTGGGTTGCAAATGGCGGGAACCCAACTCTCACTACCTGGGACAAAAGGGAATTGAGTGGCTCAGAGAACCAAGGAAGGCAGGACGCTCCAAATTACAGGAAGGACAAGGATGTAGGTATGGCCTCAAAACAGCCAAAAGCAAGGGCTCCTTCATGTCTGATTCTCCTGGTGGCGGCTTCCTTATGTGGACTCCCTGGGTCACAGGTCCAGAGATCCTTTGAAGAAACTTGTTGGCTCTGCTTCATTCAGGTACCCAACCCTGACCCTTCACCTGTGGCCACAGGGAGCAAGGTGTCTATGATTCAACTGCTCAGCCCTCTGACCCTCCTAACTGTGGCCAGTGGGTTAGGATCACATGAGGACGTGGCGTTTCCCATGGTAGACAAGTGGTTTAGCGGGAGACACCGATACCCAAGAAAAGAAAAGCAAGGAATATTAATTACTTTATTACTAACCAACAACTGTCCCCAAAAAGTACAATGGCCCCAATACAATAGAAGTTGTCTATCTTTCTTACATGAAGTTCTGAGCAGGGCACAGGTTAGTGTGGTAGACTCTTTCTCAGCCCTTCTGGGACTCAAGTTGACCAAAGTCCAGCCATCTTCAGCATGTGGCTTTGAAGTTCCTCTTGAGGGCTGGAAGGGAACACGACCGTGGAGGGATATCATGTGGAAGGTGATGGTCCTGAAGCATGGGCTAGACCTGGAAGTGATGCACGTCACTCACGTTCCATTGGCTACAGCTTAGTCCCATGACCATAGCTAACTGCAAGGATGCTGGGAGATGCTGTCCCTGGCTGGCAGCCAGTTCCCAGCACTAACACTGTACTGTGGAAGGAGAACCACACATTTGTGATGGACGCTTGCTCTCTCTGCCCCAAGAGGGCTGCTAGGCAGACAGTCATGGATGGGCACCTCTCTTACCCACTTCATTGTCCTTAGGAGAGCCTGGTTAGTGCTCTAAGCCATGGGGCTGTAAAAGCTCCTTAGCACAGGCCTAAAAGAGACCAGGATGTTGGGGACTGAATTTGCCCTCCACGGGGACCTGGGTTCGCCACCACAGAGAAAGCCCCAGAGCCCAGATGGCACTTATGTCCTGAGTCAGAATCTAGGAGATGAAAGTTAGCTCACGTGTGCCCATCCCCCACATCTCATCGGACAGTGTACCAACAAGAATGAGCAGTGGCTCATTTTGAGGGCAGAGAGATGCTCCGTAAAGACATGTTGGTTGACTGGGGTTCTGGCTTTGCTGTTCTGCCATCGTGGCAGGGGCAGATCCAAGTTTTATGGGCCTGCAGTTTAGACAATTTGAAAGGGCCTTCTTTAAGACAAAGAATATGAAAATATCTTTTGTAAATTATAAACAATGAAAACAAGACCATATGAACACATTGCTAGAGGCCCTCCCGGGGCCTTGGCAGGGGCCCTGAAGAAGAAAGACGCTTTATCAGCCAAACAGTGAATCCCTCTCCGGATCTTACTCGAGCTGCTTCACCTCAGGGCCTGGACTGCTTCCCGGGGAAGACTGGCCAGAGGGCGGGGTGTGATGGAATGGGGAAGGGCTGAAGAATGGCGAAGAGTGTGGACTTTGGGGTCCAGAGACAAAGGTTCAAATGTCATTGGACCTCTTTGAGCCCCATTTTCTTCATCTGTGAAATGTACACACCAGGGAGGGTTGTTGGAGGATTAACTGAAACAGGTAACGAACTTAGCACTGGGCCTGGCACCTTGGGGACATTTGTTAAATTAGAATCATCATCATCCTCATCATCAAACTAGTCCCAGTTCTGCCACTAACTCTCTGCATCTAGGGAGATAATTTTCCTCTCTGGATCTTCGCTTTCTCATCTGTAAAATGTGGGTTTAGTCTAAATCAGAGGTTTTCAACTGGGATGGGACCTCGGAATCACCATGGAGCATTATAAAATGACATATTTCTGGACTCCGCATGAGACCTACCGAATTAAAAATCTCAGGGTAGGGGCCGGCCCGGTGGTGCACTGGTTAAGTTCGAACCTTACGCTTCGGCAGCCCGGGGTTCACCGGTTCGGATCCTGGGTGCAGACATGGTGCCGCTTGGCAATCCATGCTGTGGCAGGCGTCCCACACATAAAGTAGAGGAAGATGGGCATGGATGTTAGCTCAGGGCCAGTCTTCCTAAGCAAAAAGAGGAGGATTGGCAGCAGATGTTAGCTCAGGGCTAATCTTCCTCAAAAGAAAAAAAAAATCTCAGGGTATAAAACCACCTGGTAATCTGCATTTTGGAAAAGCACCCCAGGTGGTTCTGATGTAAATTCTTTGCTATGAACCTTTGGCAGAATGACTGATTGCCATAATTCCTTACACTTGTATTGTCTTCACAACTCAGTTGCAAATCCTAAAAATACCCTGTTCCATCTAGAGTCTGTGGCATTTGGCGTTTTTATATCAAGTATTTGATATAAATAGGGCGTATTTTTTTCCATGAAAGTAATTGAATGAATAATAATTATGAAGTGTGCCACAGAGTTGCATCTGACCTAAAAAGATGCTCACTAAATATTTGGTTAATTTACTATGTAAGTCGTTTATTCACTCATTTATCCATCAATTGGAAGGTGGCCATATTATGGTTCAGGCATTCTAGATGTAAAGGTGGCAAGGCAACCAGGGTACCTGCTCTCAAGGAATTTAAAATTTGTCAGGGTCAGAGGCTATAAGCAGTAAACAGATAAATAATTGCAGATTAGGTTCATTACTGTGAAGGAAATGAAAGAGACTACCATGAAGTGGGAGTCACAACTTGAGATGGGGTGGTGAAGAAGCCAGGGAGGTGACATTTGAGCTGAAACCTGAGGGATGGGAAGAAGACAGCCATGGGAAGAGGCAGGCAAAGAACACTCCCAGAAGAAGGTAGAGGGAATGGCAAGTGCAAAGGCCCTGAGGCAGGAGGAGAGGTTTGTGTGTTTATGGAGGAAAAGAAGCCGTTGTAGTTAGAGCAGAGTGGCCATATGGGAGGAAGGATGGCATCATGCAGGATCATGCAGGACCTCTAGGCTGTGTTAAAAGAGTTTAGATTTTATTCCAGCTGTGAGAAGAGCCATTGGATGGATGAAAGGAGATGATTTTCAGCAATGAGATGCCTGGTTAGCTGCCACATATATTTAGAATGGTCCCAAACTTGATTATGTCAAAATAGAAAATGCAGCCATTTGTAACTTTTTAATCGTAGACAAAGCCAATCCTTGGGCCTGTATTTTTTTTGTTCTTATAAGAAGGGTAATCGTGTTTTGGGATCAGGTCGGTGGAAGGGTTCAAAATCAACCTGATCCGGAGTGAAGAGCACTTCCAGAGTTACTGCAACAAGATCTTCGCCGGCTGGGACTTTTGCATCACCAACCGCAGCATGGCGGACCTGAAGCATGGCAGCCTGCGGTACGAGCTCCGAGTGAGTGCACCGGGTTTTCTCCGGCCAGCAAGCTTGTGCCTTGGGAGGTGGGCCTGCAGCTTGCAGAGGAGCTAGGTGGGGGCCAGGCTGTCACAGCGAGCTTCCTGTATGTCGTTTTCTAGAGCTTTTGTGGAGAACAGCTTCCAGAGATGGATCAAGCATGGAGCTGGTGACCTGGGGCTGGGACGGGAGGTGGGGACACGACAGCGACGGGGAGGAGATGGTGTCTTCCCTCCTCCCCGACCACCTTACACTGTGATTTTTCCACCTGAGGAGAGCCTGTCACGAGCACTGCTTACACCAGCAGAAACAGGACAAAGAAGGAGTACTGTGGTGGAAAGGTGGAGTGGAGAGAATATGAAAAAGTAGAAGAGAATTTCCAAATTAATAAGGAGAGGAGGAATAATAAATAGCATCTTGACCAAGCCCACCAAAAAAAGGAGGAGGGGCCCTTTATATCAAAAGCTTAATAAAGTAAGATGGAAGGACCCAAATTGAATGTATCATTTGTTTAAAGAGATAAGGCATACTACATAGAAGTGATGTCATGAGTACGTTACAGTTCTGCTTTCGCATTTATTGCAAAGTCTAATTGCTGTCTGAAACAGGAGGTTCTCCCTTGACGCAGGTCTTTAGTAGACATGAGAACTAGTTGGGCTTGGTCTAGGAAGGTATCTTGGGGGAGAAGAATATTTAAAGAAAGTCTTAAAGATGGATGGGGAGAGTATAATGAATCGCAGGTTCCACCCCGGAATATTCCTTCCTCCCAGTGCTCACAAATGACTTTTCTTTGGTCCTCAGGCAGATCTGGAGGAAGAAAGGATACGGCAGAAAATAGCAGAAAGGACCTCAGAGGAAACGCTACGGATTTACTCTTTGAGACTGTTTTTGAACTGTATTGTTCTGGCCGTTTTAGCGGCATGCTTTTACGCAATCTATAGAGCAACTATATTCTCGCAGGAGCATATGAAAAAGGTGAGTACCCCATGAAAGCCAATTTAACTTACTCTGGGCGTTAGGCTAAGTGCCTTGCAAACCTCTGAGGCAGATAGCATCATCGTTTCTGTTTTACTTATGGGGATATAGGTTTGGCTGATAGGACGGAGAACCGAAAATCACAGGTGACGAATTTCCACTTTTAATAGAAATAAAAAGCATCCAAAATAGACTGGAATTCCTCCTGGAATACACAATATTCGAATCTAGGCTTGACTTCCTGCATTTAATCCCCAACTCTACTGCTTATCAGCTGGGGTCTCAATTTACCTAAAATAGCAGCGGTTTTAAAAATCCAAGTTGGTCTAGTGGCTCTGCTCCATGAAATCAGTCATCAGGGGTCCAGGTTCCTTCCGTCTTGTTGCTCTGCCATCCTTAGGATGCATCCTTTTCTATATGGTACCAGTAGCTCACTATGTCCACATTCTAGCCAATGGGGAGGAGGTGAAGGAGGTGGAGAAGGCACCTGCCTTGCCTTCAAGGGCATGACCTGGAGGTTGCGCTTAAAACTTCTGCTTACATCCCTTTGGCCAGAATTTAGTCAGATGGCTTTACAAAGCAGGTTAGGAAATTTCGTTTTATCCCAGATAACCAAATATGCTCTTACTCTGAAAGAAGTAGAGAATGGCTATTCCAAGTCAGTTAGTAATACAGCCTTGAAAATACTTTAAATTGCCCACTGGTACAGAATACATGGATTTTTTTTCTTTTCTTTTTTTTTTTTTTTTTTTTTTGAGGAAGATCAGCCCTGAGCTAACATCTGTGCCCACCTTCCCCTACTTTATACATGGGACGCCTGCCACAGCATGGCTTGATATACAGTGCGTAGATCTGTGCCCAGGATCCAAACTGGCAAACCCTGGGCTGCCGAAGCAGAGCATGTGAACTTAACTGCTGTGCCACCGGGCTGGCCCCAAGAATCTGCCCCACCTCTCTGCAAGAATCTTCATCTTAAAAAATCCAATAGAGCTCCTTTTTCTTCCAGGATGCTACTAGATCATGGTTCCTCTAATTGAACACACGAGGAAAGAAATAGCTTATGTTTAGGGGCCATGTTGAATGACATATGTGTTTCGTTTTGTGTGCTAAACACGTATAGTTGAGTTCTTTTATTTCCTTCCAGCTTTGCGGAGATCTAATTAACATAGCACATTATATAAGTTTAAGGTGTAGAGCATAATGACTTGACATACGTCCAGTTGAGTTCTTTAACGGTCAACTCATTTGTGATGCAACTTGCCTTACTATACTCCTCACCAGTTTTGTTGTCTTCATAGGAAATTGACAAGATGGTTTTTGGAGAGAACCTCTTGATATTGTACCTGCCTTCTATTGTGATCACACTGGCCAATTTTGTCACCCCAATGATCTTTGCCAAGATCATCCACTATGAGGATTATTCCCCAGGCTTTGAGATCCGGCTGACCATCCTTAGGTAATGTCTAGGCATGCCAAGCAGGTCACCCCTTGCCCACTCCCTTGCCCGCGGCAGACATTGCTAATCCATTGTGGCACTTTTTCCTGCTGCGCCGAGCATCCTCTTCAGCCTTCAGACATTCCCCATGAATGAATCAGAATTTGCACATGCAGTGAAATCTCTTTGACTTAAGTGTCTACTCGGCAGTATTAAATTTTTGGTTCATGTGTTAGAACATTGACAACTGAGGGCATAGGGTGGGGCCGTAGGAGGGAGTGTTGCTCTGAAGATGTTAGAAATAACATGGGAGTTTGTGTGGGAATATCTTAGCGTTTCCCCACCCAACCAGGTATTTATCCTCTACCGCCTAGGGGTGCCTGGCCCCCAGAGGCATTAACTCCTCCACACTTCCACCCACTGCCCCCATGCATGGGCCTTGGGAGGAGAGTTATAAGTGCTTGCCGCAGGAACCTGAGGCATCTGCTGGAATAGTGAACACCAAGAAAATGTGGCCAGGTCACCGACTGTGGGCGCTATGGCTGACTTTTTCGTGTGTGTGCGAGGAAGATTAGCCCTGAGCTAACATCTGCCGCCAATCCTCCTTTTTTTTTTTTTTTTTTTTTTTTGCTGAGGAAGACTGGCCCTGAGCTAACGTCTGTGCCCATCTTCCTCTACTTTATACATGGGACGCCTGCCACAGTATGGCTTGACCAGCAGTGCCACGTCTGCACCCAGGATCTGAACCAGCGAACCCTGGGCTGCTGAAGCGTAACGTGCAAACTTAACCACTGTGCCATCAGGCCGGCCCCCAAGCTGACTTTTTATAACTTGTTGTGATATCTCTTCTCATTCTAAATAAATATTCAGTTTCATTAAAAAAAATAAAAGTAAAGAAATGACAGGTTAAAGCAGGGTCCGGGGAGTTAATTAACACAAATGAGTTGAAGAGGACCAGGCAGGGACTGGGTAAAAGTGGAGCCTTTCCTTTCTGCTTCTCAAACGCCTCAGATTACATTTGCATGTTTTAAAAAAATCTTTTTATTTTGGAAATGTTCAAATGAGCAAATGAGCTCCCATGTGCCCATCACTTACTTTCAACCGTTACCGACATTTTGTGAATCTTGTTTCATCTACTCCCCTCACTTTTGCTGGATTGTTTTAAGCAAATCTCAGACCTGTAAACGTTTCAGTATATCTCTAAATGACAAAGACTTTTCCTTGTCTTTTTTGGTTTTTTCTTTGAGGAAGATTAGCCCTGAGCTAACATCTGCTGCCAATCCTCCTCTTTTTGCTGAGGAAGACTGGCCCTGAGCTAACATCCATGCCCATCTTCCTGTACTTTATATGTGGGACGCCTGTCACAGCATGGCCTGACAGGCGGTGCCATGTCCGCACCTGGGATTCAAACTGGCAAACCCCGGGCCGCTGAAGCGGAATGTGCACACTTAACCACTGAACCACTGGGCCGGGCCCAGGACTTTCTTTTTTTAATGTAACCATCGTCACCCCTTTTTGCAGATGGCTTTCTACGACTTGCTGATTCAAACCAGGTTCCAAACCAAGGCCACACGCTCTGCTTGGTTGTTATATCTCTTAAGCCCCTTTTATTCTTCTAAGAATTCCCCGTCCCCTTGAGTTACGCCACTGATCTGAGGAGGAAACTGGGGCATTTGTCCTGTAGAATGTCCACTGGACTGGATTTTGCTCATTGTTTCTTCGTGGCGTGTGTTGTTTTCCTGTGCCCCGTAGTCGCTGTAAACTCCCGTATAGATTCAGACACTTTTTATTAGATTTCATTTCAGTTTTCGTTTGTGGAACGCTCCTGGGTGGTGCCGGGCGCGTGCATCCTTCCAGGAGGCACATAGTGTCAGGTGGCATGCTGAGGAGTGAGAAGCGGGAACAGATGGTGGGGTTTGCCTTTTTTTGCCTCCCACTTTTTAACGTTTCTATTTTAGTTTTTTAAATTACAAACCAAACAATAGAAAAGCATCTTTAAAAAAAAATTAGCACTCTCTGCCCTGCTTCTTGATTCCAGCTTCCCCAGGCACCCCTCATCTGCGTGGGTCACACGTTTTGTTTTGTTTTAAAAATAGGATCATATCTACACAAAACTCTGCAAAGTACTTTTTTCACTTCTCAATACATGAGACATCTCTCAAAGCTGATGCTTATAAGACTCACTTAGTTCTTTTCAGAAACACGTAATATTCTGTAGGGTGACCACGTAAACGTGGATTCAGGAATTGGCAGCTTTCTGATTTTTTTTTCTGCCACAAAAAAAGTGTGGTAATATATATATATCATAAAATTTACCATTTTAGCCATCTTTAAGTGTACAACTCAATGACATTAAGTACCTTCCCAGTGTCATGCTACCGTCACCACTGTCCATTTCCAGAACTTTCTCATAATCCCAAACACAAACTTTGTGCCTATTTGTGGGTTTGCTTTGAAGCTTCTCTGCTCCCTAGCCCCAGGTCCAAGGGGCCAGCCCGCCCCGAGGCCTCCTGCCCACCCTCCCTTCTCCCGCTCTTCCCTCAGGTGTGTCTTTATGCGGCTGGCCACCATCTGTGTGCTGGTGTTCACCCTGGGCTCCAAGATTACATCCTGTGATAACTACTCCTGTGAACTCTGTGGCTACAACCAGAAACTCTACCCGGTGAGGCTGCGGGGATGGGAGCGTCCTGCTGGGGGGGGTCAGTCTGGGGTGACAGCCTCAAGGTTGAGAAAACAGCCCTTGAAGCCCTGGGTTTGAATCCCAGTTGACGCGCTTTCTCGCTGTGTAGCATTTCTAAGGGCTTGAAAACCAGGGTCTGTGCTGGAGCTCAGAGGAGCATCAGCTGGTGGCCTCCAGAGGCAGTAGGATCTGGGGATGGAAGGGCGTTGGGAGGAGTCTGAGAGCCTGGCTTTCTCTACCCCAAGTCGGGTCTTAGTTTCTCTCCATCTCTTTGGTTTCAGTGCTGGGAGACCCAAGTTGGGCAAGAAATGTACAAGCTGATGATCTTCGACCTCATCATCATCTTGGCTGTGACACTTTTTGTGGATTTTCCTAGAAAGTAAGTGTGAGAGGTACCCCTATCTCCCGCGACCCCTCCCACATCCGCCCCCATCCCCAGTGGAGGCTCCCGTCACAGCTGCTCTTCACAAAGTGCTGGATGGTCCCGCAGTCCCTGGAAACCGCTGACAACCATCCGGTGACTTTCAATTAGCTCCAGGCCATCGACCCCATCATCCATTAGGCGCCCCCTCGAAAGGTAGCATAATAGTGGAAATGGGGCTGCTTTCCACGAGATTTCCGTGGAGGCGATGTCCTGCCATTAGCACAGCCACGGGCGCTGTCAGTGGAGACCCGCCCGGCTGCAGTGGAGGCCACAATTCCTGATCTGGGTTCAAGCCCCAGCACGGCCACTGGCTGATCACGTGACATTGACCCAGTTATTTAAGCTCTGTGCCTGTTTTCCCACCTGTGCAATGGAGATAGTAGACGTACCCTCTTAATGGCACTGTTGTGAAGATTAAATGAGAAAAAGCCAATAAAAGTACTGAGAACGTTCCATCCCACAGAACTCACCCACACGCTACCAATCGCCATCATGATTATCACCGCAATGCTCACTTTTATCACTATTCTCATGAATAACGAGAATGTGTGCTTATTAAAAATTTTAAACATTTAGAATTTAAACAAATAGAGAAGTCTGCAGAATAGTGAGAGTTCTGTTTCATTACCGTACCCCAACTCCGCACTCCTCAGAGGTGGCCACTGCTGGGTGGACCCAGCAGTCCTTAAAAATAAAAACATGTTTGCATAAATACGTGTGTAAGTAAACACACAGTCTTGCGGGAAGTGATCTTTACCCCCATCGATGGGATCATGGGACATCCATGTTGGTCCGCAGCTTGCTTTTGTTCCCCCAAACAAACAAAAGAGCGTGAACAGCTTTCCATGTCAGGACACGTGGATTTCCCTCATTCAGTTTAAGGGCTATATAATATTCCACTGTATCCAGAGCTTATAATTTGTCAGTGTAGCCCCGACTGACGGACATTTCGGTTGTTTCCAGTATTTGTGCTAATCCACGACAGTGCTACAGTGAACAACTGTGTTTGTTTATCTCAGGCCACTGGTCCTAGGGTTTCTGTAAGAAGCTTCTAGAATGCTGGGATGTCACATGCTGGGTGGTAAGGTCCTCATAAACCATTTTGTGTGTGGATGCGTGTTGCTGCTTGCGCTGAGTGGCACAGCCCCAGCACAGACCGGGCTCCTGTCGTTTACTGTCACCGCCACCTGGTGAAGTAAGTTGTGTTAATTCCCCCACATTCCACATGAGAAAATTGAGGCTCAAAGAAGTCAAAGCAGTTGTCTAAATTGATTTGGCTGGTAAGTTGTAGATCTGAGACTTGAATCCTGGTCTTGATGATTCCAGAGTTCACGGTATTCTGCATCTTCTGGACGTAGGACTAGCCGGTTTCCATGGGAAGTGTGTGTGGAATTGACCCTGAGTTTGTGGGCGTGGTTCTGTGGCCTTGGCAGACACTGGTAGTCCAGGTGAGAAATTGTCCTGTGTGTTCCCAGGCTTCTGGTGACTTACTGTTCCTCTTCAAAGCTGATCCAGTGCTGGGGGCAGCAGGAATTTGCCATTCCTGATAACGTGCTGGGGATTGTTTATGGGCAAACCATTTGCTGGATCGGAGCCTTTTTCTCCCCGCTTCTCCCTGCAATTGCGACCTTGAAATTCATTATCATCTTTTATGTGAAAGAGGTAAGGAGGGGAGGGGAGAGGGGGCTGATACCTGGACCGTTCTTGACCTTGTAAGGCACTGGGCACGTGTATGCTTGGCACCCACCCAACATCCCATCAGACGTATCAAAATCACATCCCTTATTTGATATGTTTTTATTCTAGAAAAAAGACTTTGACTGGATTTTCATGTTTATAATTTTGAGAGTTTTGTTAAGAACTGTTTTCCTCCTATGATTTAAATGTTGTTTTTATATTTAATGAAGAGTTGAATTGCAATTGATCGATCAATTGACAGTGGTACGTTTTGGTGATGTTTAACCAAACGTTTGTTAATTTAAATTTTGTCATTTTCTGTTCGTATTCTGGAGCCGGTACGTTTATTTTCGGGTCTCAGTTATTTGTGTTGGTCCTTGAACAGCTCACAGGCCCCAGGCATTGGGCCTGAACTAAGCACTTCACGGGTGAAGTGGCCTTGCAGATGACTCACTTATCTGGGCTTATTGACCGAACTTTCTTTATTATAGAGGCCATGTGTGCTCTCTATTCAACATGTAGGCAATTCAGCTGTGTGTACAGTAACTTCCATTCCTTCTTCCAGAGGTACCGTCTGTTAACAAGCCCAACGTTTATTGATTCCCACTTATGCTAAGCCCTGAGGATTCAGACATGGGAATAATAATAGTAATAAGAGTAATGATGATGATAATAGCAGGTGATGGTAATACCACGTGCCCCCACTGTGCTGAACACTTTACATAGATTATCTTGTAATGCTTACACCCACCCTTTGGAGGAGGGGCTGCTATCAACCATTTTTTATAAACTAGGAAGCAGAAGTGCAGAGAGGTTAAGTAACTGGTCCGAGGTCACACACTTGTGACTGTGTGTGTGACACACGTGTGACCCTGGGATTTAAGCCCAGGTTTACCTCACTCCAGAGCCTAAACTCTGAACTTGGCAAGTAGGGCCTTAAACTGGGCCAAACTTTCTACCTGGAGGTTTTGGCCTTTGAAAAATGTTTTGATGGTTTCCTTTGGGAACTTGAGTTGGCCGAGGAGGAGAGACGGATGTGAGAAAGCGCACAGGAGCTTTTTCCCTCTCCAGAAGATGTTGTTAGCCAGTGCTTTCCCGGGGTGTAGCACAGTAAGGGCAGCGTGGGGGTAGTGGAAGGGCTCACGGGTGCTGGACTGAGGTTGGACACCCCGGGCCCCACTGGCTGGCTGCCCCCCGACAGGACACCAAGTGTCCCTGGTACTCGGTCCCCTCTGGCCCACAAGATGGTCTGGCTACTCTGAAGTCAGGAGAGCTCGATGCCCTCCCAGTCATGTAGCTTTTTTTTTTTTTTTTTTTAAAGATTTTATTTTTTCCTTTTTCTCCCCAAAGCCCCCCAGTACATAGTTGTATATTCTTCGTTGTGGGTCCTTCTAGTTGTAGCATGTGGGACGCCGCCTCAGCGCGGCTTGATGAGCAGTGCCATGTCCGTGCCCAGGATTCGAACCAACGAAACACTGGTCCGCCTGCAGCGGAGCGCACGGACTTAACCACTCGGCCACGGGGCCAGCCCCCCAGTCACGTAGCTTTTTAAACTATTAAGGAGAAATTTTATGCTGTTCCTCTGCCTGGCCCCCTCCCCACTTGATATCTCCTTCAAGTCATTTTTTCTCTGAATGGAAATAGTTATTTTTAATATATAGGAAAAATAAACACGCTTGTAAGAAATTCAAGGAAAATATCTCTTAATTTGTTATATATTATTACAGATCTATTTCATACATAGTTAAACCTCTATAAAGAATACTTTTTTAAAAACTTACATGAGGTCACCCAGTGCGGAGTCCTGAAGTCTGCCCTTTTCATCTCTCAGAGCCGGGCAGGATTGAAGCTGCTCTCTCGTCCTTTCTGAGGGCTTGCTGGTCCTCCATTGTACGGGTGCCCTTTCACCTTTAAGAGACCCCCATTGATAGCTCTTCATGTTGCTTTCAGTTACTCCCTGTTATCAACAACTGTAGCAGTAAATATCCATGTGCATGTTATTTGGGGCCATTCTTCCTATTTTCTCATCAGGATGAATTCCCCAATATTGAAGTCTGGAGTAAACATTTTTCATTTTGGTTTATATTGCTGACGACCCTCCAGAAAGGTCATACCAGTTCACACGGCCACCGAGATGCGAGAACGTGCTCCTCCACGCCGTGGAAGCGGCACTCACCGCTCGTCATTGTTTCTCTGTGTCCCTCTGCCCCAGATGAGTCTCATTTACACCTGCACACCTTCCCCGAGGCAGTTCCGAGCGTCCAATTCTAATTTCTTCTTCCTGCTGGTGTTGCTGATCGGGCTGTGTTTGGCTATAATACCGCTGACGATCAGCATGGCACGGTAAATATGGCTTTGTTTTCTAGAACATTTCCTTGCTTCCTGACATGTCCCTCTCATGTTAAAGGGTCCATTACATTCTTTATTGGGTTTCCTCCCGGGGTTCCACCTGCAGGTCAGTCAGTCGCTCCTGGCTTAGGCAGGCCCACCCACGTTTCAGAATCTCCCTCCAGAAGCTGGAATATGTCGGTCACCTTCTAGAACTTGGATCTGCAGGGTTAGCATTGTTATTGAGAGCGCCAGCTGGGTCTGTCCTACCCAGCTCCCTTTTCCTAGGACCTCTCTTCTAGTCCCCGTGTGGGACTTCGTTTCTGATGATGAAAGAATACATGTTCTTTCTAGAGGACTTGGAGTGTAGGGAAAAGTAGAAGGGAATGTAGAGTCTGGTGTGCGGTTTGGAAAGACCAGAAATGCTCTGGACTAAGGATCAGAGGTTGAGGTTCACACCCCATTGATGCCACTCCCTAGTGGCATAACCATATGTACCAGAGGCCAGCAGACTTTTTCCTTGAAGGGCAAGAGAGGAAATAATTTAGGCTTTGCGGGCCGTATGGTTTCTGTAGCAACTATTCATCCCTACTGTTGTATCTTAAAAGCAGCCGTAGACAATGTGTCAACTAACAGGTCTGACTGTGTTTCAATAAAACTTTATTTATAAAAAAACAGGTGGTGGGCCAGATTTGTCACGTGGGCTGTAGTTTGCTAATCCCTGACTTACACTCTCATGGAATTCTGTTTCTTCATCTTTAAATTAAAATCCTTGAACTTGGAATCTGTCTCGCAGATTTTGTTATTTTTTAACTAATTTGAGTATATATATATTTTTTCTTGTTTTTTCTTGTTATAGTACTATATATTAAACATTTTAAAAAATCCAAACAGTACAGAAGGGTATAAATTAAAGAGAAAAAATTCCTCCTTATTCTCACCTTTTTGTCCCACTCTCCAGAGGTAACCACTGTGAACATTTTATGAATATTCCAGAAATTCATTATGAAAAATGTGTTTATTTAAAAAAAAAAACACATATGGAAGAGTGTTGTAATCCTGTTTGGCAGCTTATTTTTTTCACTTAACTTTATATTGTGCTCTTTTCCATGCCAGCAAATCAGAACTCTCATTCTTTTAAACTATTTTTTTTTTAATAAGAAATGCACTCACAGGGCACAAAATTTAAAAAGCATAAAAGAGTGGAGCGTGGAAATTCATTTTCCAATCCAACTTCCCAAGTACTTAGTTTCCCTCAGGGAGCCAGTCATCTCCTATGTATGTGTGTCTCTCAGTGGTTCTTTAGTGTTCCATTGTGTGACAGGAACATAAATCGTTCATCCATTTCCTTAAACAATTGAGGTTGTTTCCAGGAATTTTTTTTATCCCGAAAAATAGGGCTGCAGTGAGCCAGCCCTGATGGCCCAGCGGGTAAAGTTCAGCACGCTCTGCTTCGGCGGCCCAGATTCAGTGGCCAGGCGTGGAACCACACCACCCGTCTGTCAGTAGCCATGCTGAGGCGGCAGCTCACATAGAAGAACTTGAAGCACCTACACCTACAATATACGACTATGTGCTGGGGCTTTGGGGAGGGGGAAAAAAAGAGGAAGATTGGCAATGGATGTTAGCTCAGGGCCAATCTTTCCCTGCAAATAAATAAATAAATACATAAATTATTTAATTAAAAAAATAGGGCCGCAATGGAAAATTTTGTACACAGGACTTTATGATGTAAATTTAGACAATTCTTTGTAGGCCTTGTTTTCAATTTTTTTCCACTGTAATTAAAAAAAATTTTTCCCTACTTTTTATTTTGAAAAATTTCAGATCTATAGAAAAGTTGAAGAAACACCAACAGTGAAAACTCGTATACCCTTCACCTGGATGTCCCAATTGTTAACATTTTGCTACATTCGTTTTATCTGTCTTTATGCGTGCATTTTTTTTCATCCCTAAATATTGGGGCACACAGTTTTTAAGAATAAGAACATTCTCCTTCATACATATCCACAATAATGTCGTCACACCTAACAAAATTCATGCTAATATATTTCTGCCATTTTCAAATTTCCCCAGTTGTCTCAAAATAGTCTTTTATAGCTTTATTTTAAATAATGAGGTCTTTCGAGTTTCACCCATTGGTTGTTATGTCTCGTTACTCTCTCTTCATCTTTGATTCTTCAGAGAGAGTCCACACTAGTTTCCTCACCTCCAAATTAAAGAGACTGGAGGATAGAATCCCCACATTCTGGGTTTGTCTGATTCTTTTCTCCCGGTGTCATTTAACTTGCTCTTGGGTCCTGAATTTCTTGTGAACTGGAAATCAGGTCTAGAGACTTGATGAAATTCCAGGGTAAGCATTTGGGGCCGGAATATTCTAGAAGGCCCATGAGGTCAAGCGGTCCCTCCCCAGTCACTGTTAACAAAGTCTTGTGGGCGTGCAGAGCGGGGGACGCCCAGCCCATGCTCCCCGCCTCTCGCTGAGCCCCGTGGTCTGTGTCCTGGCAGCATCCCTTCCTCGAAAGCCTGTGGGCCGTTCACCAACTTCAACACCACCTGGGAGGTGATCCCCAAGACGGTCAGCACCTTCCCCAGCTCGCTGCAGTCCCTGGTCCACGGCCTCACGTCAGAAGCCTTTGCAGTGCCCTTCTTCATGATCATCTGGTGAGTGAGAAGCACCCAGGCCCCTGCAAGGATTTCCTACTGAGGAAGGCGCACTCTTCTCCCCGGGGAAATAGGGGGTCACCTGCTGCCCTTGACAAGTTACTGAACCTCTCTGCGCTTCACTTTCCCATCTCTAAAATGGGCAAACAATAGTAAATCTTTCAGAGGTCATTGAGCAGATTCAGTAAGATCCCACACGTAAGGCACTTAGCCAGAGTCCTGACTTAAAAAAAGACCAGTGAACATTGCCTATACTTAATACTAATGATTATTCACAAAATCACTGGCTCTTTGAAAAAGGAACTGATTACTGGGCAGAGAGAAGAGCACCAGATTAGGAGCATGCCCTTGAACCTGGCTCTGCCGTCTGTCTATAAGCTGTGTGGCCCTAGGTCATCACATAGCCTCTCTGAGCCTCACTTTCTCCACCTGGAAAATGGGGATGAGAATGGCCCATACCTCATGGGGTTGTGAGAAGAAGGAAGTGCGGTGGCACCTGTAAAGCCCTTCATAAAGGCTGAGTCAATGACAGTGCTGTATGTGAGGCTGACAAGGGTCTTCGCTGCATGGCGATTCATTCTGAGTGTTAAAATAATTCTAAACACAAATGTGCATTGAGAGCTTACTTTGTCTAAGCATTGTTCTAATTGCAGTCCATTCTCATCATTCACGGATTCCGTATTTTTTTCTGTATTGCCAATGCACCTACTCGCTAAAATATTTGCAACCCCCAATCAATACTAGCAATGCTTTTTTGTGGTTATTTCTGGGCATCCGTGGAGGAGCAAAAAATTTTAGTCATCTGACACCCAACGTCTCCATCTATTCGGGCTGCTATAACAAAACATCGCAGATGCGGGCTGATCAACAACAGAAATTGGTTTCTCGCAGTTCTGGAGGCTGCAAGTCCAAGATCAGGGTGCCAGCATGGGTGGGGGAGGGCCCTCTTCTGGTTCCTGGAATTCTTATATCCTCACATGGTGGAAGGGGCCAGGGAGCTCTGTGGGGTCCCTTTTATAAGGGCGCTAATCCCATTTGTGAGGGCTCCACCCTCATGACCTGATCACCTCCCAGAGGCCCCACCTTCTAACCCCATCACCGTGGGATTAGGATTTCAACACGCAGAATGCTGGGGGGGGGCAGACGCAAACGTTCAGACCATGGCATGCATGTCCCAGCTGAGGCGGAGCGAGGTGGCGCTTCTGCCTTCTCGTTTCAGCTCTCCTCCTGTAAATAAATATCCTCTTTGCCATCTATTTAGAGCCACGTTTCTTGTATTTTGTGCTTTGGGTTGGGGGTTTCACTGTGTCAAATGGTGCCCCCGTGCAGTGCTGAAGCGCTGTCTCGTGTTCCTGGTGCGAGAAGGCTGGGATGTATCTTATGAAGAACGTATCTGTGTCAGATGAGCTGCTTTCAGGCGTGAGTTCTGGTGCTGTTGGCTGTGAGCTGAATGTTAGTGAATCAGCAATAATGATAAACGAGGTGTCTTTAAACAGAGACAATATTATGTATTGATGGGTTGACGGAATGTTGTGACCTGAGGCTCGCCAGAGCCTACTTCTCTAGGGGCGTTGGTTCCGAATTCACTAATTCAGTGCTCATGGAAATTTATAGAATATCACTACCACAAAGCACTGGAATGGATGGTAGCATACACGTATTAACTCATGGAATCATCACAATTACCCTGTGATGTGTTATTATTGATGCGGGGTCAGTGAGCCGAGGAGTCGAAAGAAAGATTTCTTAGACTCTCAAGATCTGGCAGGAGTGCTCTTTTATTTAGAGAATAGTGTGGAATAGCATGAGGACAGGACCCATGGGCAGTCAGAGCTTCTGCTGCCGCTTCTGCTGCCCCCGCTGGCATGGGGACAGCACCCATGGGCAGGCAGAGCCGCTGCTGCTGCCCCCGCTGGCATGGGGACAGGACCCATGGGCAGGCAGAGCTGGTGCGTGGGGACAAGACCCACGGGCACTCAGAGCTCCTGCTGCTGCCCGGAGTTGAGGGTTAGGGCTAATTTTATAAGGTATGGGTACGTGAGTCATCTCTTCACAAGACAAAGGAAAGAACATGAAAAAAAAGTTAAAATGGTATCAGTGCAGGTGGGGTCTGGTCATTGGGTGATCCCATGACTTTTAGACAAGAATCAAATCAGATTAAGTAAAGGTTAGAAAGGTTAGAAGCCACCACCCCAAACCAGTTACATGAGATTGCCAGACAGCAACCAACCTAAGTTCTTGCCTTCCCCATTAAGAGTTTCTAGGGACAAGGTCATCTCTCTTCTCCTTCCTGGTACAGAGAGGGAGGCACCTTTTACAGATAGTGATTTACCTTACAAATGTAAATGTGTCCCAACAAGGGCAAGTTCCATTCCCCAGAGCCTCCTTCCCTGTCCCTGTTATCAAAAGCAATCAGCCCCAAACAATCCCGATGCCAAAGAGACATATCCTGGGGCGGCCAATTTCAGGTCCCTACAAGGTCATCCCCCTCTTCCTTCACAAATGCAAATGTCTCTCAAAAGGGCAAGCAAAATTCCAGTCCTCGGAGCCTGCTTCTCATGTGCAGTTTTAAAAGTAACCAGCCTAAAATCCTCATCAATTATTACAGTAAAGCTCTGCCGTAAGGCAAGAAGTGGGCCCAAAAAATTCATCCGTTAAAAGCAGGATACCTTTTGATGAGATTAATAAAATGGCTTAGGGAAGCGGTGCAGCCAGCCGGCCTGGAATTCTGAGGACCCTGGGGATCCAGCTGTTCCATCCTCCTGGGTTCACCCCAACTGTGGTTTGGCTGGCGCCATCTAGTGGTGGTGAACTGATCTGCCTTCAACATCTTTGGGGGCCATTCTTGTCCTAGGCCTTGGGGACTTCCAGAAGAGTGTGACAGATATCGTGATTCCCGTGGCTCTCATCTCCTCAGCCCTCTCTGGAGAGAGTGGATGGGAAACCACCGCCCCTTCCCTGAATGAGCATGCCTGCTGTGTTCCTGGGGGTTGCCCCCCACTCCACTTGCCCTTCTCCCCAAAGATAATGACTCCAGCCACCCCCATTTGAGATATGGGGCTGCACAGAAAACAGCAGCCAATTGCTTTTATTCTAAATTGTACTATCTTAGGCTTGTTATCACTGGGGTCTACTATATGTTATCCCCATTTTACGGATGAAGAAACTGAGGCCAGAGAGGTTCCACAGTGATCATCCACAGCCAGTTCATTCCATGCTGAGCCGACTTTCTGGACCACCTCCTTTTCTGTCCCCTATCGTGTTGGGTGTGCCGGGAGAACATCATCAATTTTTAGTATTAACTTACAAAGCAAGGCATGAATCGGTCTCTGCCGCCACTGCCAAATAAAACCCTCGGGCTGTTTCTCCCTCTGCTTGGGAGAGATGAGGGTTTTCTTTGTTTCTAACAAAAGTGAGACTGTTGCAGGCTGAATGAACGTGGCGGGTTGTTTTTCCAGCGGCCTCAGATGGCACCAGCTCCCTCGTGACCTCTCTGCCTTCTCTTACAGCCTTATCATGTTTTACTTCATCGCCCTGGCCGGAGCGCACAAGCGTGTGGTTGTCCAGCTCCGAGAACAGCTGTCCCTGGTAAGGAAGAGCAGCAGGTCCAGAGGGTCGTGGCCTGGCACCGTTACCCAGGACACAGAACGCAAAGTGGCGCCTGTCCGGGGGAGCGGGTGGAATGCTGCTGCCCCCTCTCACCACCGTCCTCCAAAACTCTGCCTTCGGGCTCAGTCTCCTCCAGCATCATTCATTCACTGACTCGCCCATTCCTTCAGCATTATGTCTTGAGCACTGCGCCAGGCCTCGGTTGGGGTCACAGCATAGCCTCAGGGCTCTGCTGGGAAGTTTCGGTTTAATTCTGAGTGTGATAGGAAGCCCTTGGAGGGTGTTAAGTAGGAATCTGATGTACATTTTAAAAAGATTATTGACCACTTTGTGGACAAGGGGCAGTGGAGGGGACGAGTTAAAGAGGCAGACCAGTCTGGAGGCCAGTACCATCATCCACTGGTTAAGGATCCTTAACCCCGAGTCTGATGGAAATTTATTAGGTCGAAATAATGACATTTGTTTCCAAAGAAATTGAATGTGCTTTTGAACCTATTTCTTTTTTTAGGAAAGCCGTGACAAGCGTTATCTAATCCAGAAACTAACAGAAGCCCAGAGGGAAATGAGGAACCGACTAGACTGAGGGTGAAGATGCTGCTGCGTGTCACTTACAAGCTGACCCAGGGACCTGCCGAGCCTGCACAGTCCATCTGGGTTTTGAGCAGGAATTTTAAAATATATTTTTCCGGAGTTCAGTCCTTTTCTGAAAGTGGTTCCATATGTGCCGCTGCGGTGGCCGTGTTTACGTAACCCAGCCCCAGTTTAGGGCTTTAGCGACTTAGAAAAAAGCAGGTTCGAAACCAAGCCTTGCCTGTAGACCAGCCACTCAGTGAGGACTATACCAAAAAACCGACATAGGAGGCGGCTGAAGCTTTTACAACTAAAACCGAGGAGGAGAGACCTGTGATATTGTCAATAGCTTATTTGTGTTGTCTTTTCAAGTTAACTGTAGGGGTCGTCCATTCACGGGGCTGGGTTCTTTCTTTTGAACCAGGTTCTGGAGGTTTAGGCTGAGAAATGTTCTGAGAAGTAGAGGCCCTTTTGAGTGGTTCTGTAGACTGATTTTTTTTTTTTTTTTGGATGAAGAGAAATCCTTGAATCGTGATGTTTGGAACAGATGGGAACATGGAGAGGGTGGTTATGTAATTTCAGCTTCACGGTAGTAACGTGAGAGAGAAAGGCAGTCCTGCTGTGTGAATCAGCGGTCCCTAAGGGGCCTGGGTGAATCAGCCTTAGGAGGATGGAAGTTGCTGGATGGGGGCCTTGAGTTCTTAGCTTCCTGGGTATTTTGCTGCAGCCTCATGACTCGGGGCAAAGCTGCTCTTCAGGCACTGGATAGCCACAAGCCTTCAGTTCTCTTGTCCTGAGTGCTGAGACTTACCAGAGAGCCCTGTGCCACCAAAATTGAGGCGAGGTCTGTGTCTCCATCTTCCAAATGCCCTTTTGCTTCCTGCACTGAGGTCTCCATTTCTGAAGGACACTTAACATTTCAGAGGCAGGCTGGAAAGTTCTGCTGAATATCTGAGCTGTGGGTTTCTATGCATAAGTGTTTGGGGATGTGGGTTGCAGCATCAGAGCAGCCTGCGCCAGTATACCAAACTGAGACGAGTGCTGGCATCTTAAATGCACGTGTGTGTATTTTTAAGGACTATTGTTTGTTTTCTTGCGCTTAAAGTTTTTAATTTTATTTTACAAAACACGCAGGGTCTCTCTTATGATTTCCGTTACAGGAAAAACCATATGCGATAAATACCTCATCAGACACTTACCCGAAATGGATAGCTCTGGACCTTTGCATGGAAGCCTAAGTTATTGTTTAATGTAATCTGTTTTCATTTTAATATCTTCAGGATCTTTTTCAAAGTACTACAGTTTTGTAATGGATCATTCGAGGCTTCCTTCCATCGCTTTTCTTCCTTTCACTGGCTCTAAACCTTTCCTGGGGGGCGGGGGGTAGCCTGGAATTCAGAGTTGAGTGCAGGTTGGCGAAAGCTAGTATCATGGAATTTTGAGTAACCAAAAGTTCATTCCATCCTCACTTTAAAAAGAAGTTCTAATTGTTGGCATTTCTGCCTAGTGCCTTTATGTATTTAATGTTCTTACCTTTACATGCTTCTGAGGTCAGTCAAGTTTCCTGTGTGTGTGTGTGTGGGAGAGAGAGAGAGATGGAAGCTCTATTTTCTTCCCCTATTATAAAACTGATACTGAAATATGCTAATATATTAGTTTTCGTTAAATGCTGCTAATTGGCGTACCTCTTGAATGTTTTTATATATTTTGATAGCTGTAATAACTTAAGGTGCTGTCTGTGGAATTGTTAAAGCGTAGCTCTCTCTAACAAATGTGCATTAAAACTACTGATTAAACCGTGTCTTGAAGGTTTTAAAACGTGATCGTGTGTGTTTGAATCCTCAGAGGCTTCTCGTCAGCAGTCAAGTGATCGTGGAAAACTCTAACAGTTTGTAAAGTTGCTCTTTGCCCTTTCCTAGAATCAGAGAGAAGAAAGAAGCGTTTAATTCTAGAAAATCATTAGATGGGTGCTTGTAAGACTCCTTGACTCTGTTGAAGCCGAGGAGGGGTTGTATTTCTGAGCCTCTCCTTTTTTTCCTCCTTAATATCTTAAAGATCCTTCCATAAAGTAGCTACCTCCTTCTTTTTAATATCACCGGATATTCAGTTTGTTTTCAGCCCCTCCCCCCATCCCTTACAAACACTGGGAGCTGGAATTTTAAAGATCTCCGCAAACATCTCTCGATTTCTCTCTTCTGCTCCTTTCAGTTCCAGGCTCTTGATCGTAATCAAGGCAGCCTTGCACATTCTCGCAATCGCAAAATATTCTCATCCCAGCAAAGAGAAGAATCCAGTGAAGGAAGTCTTTAGTTTACGTTAACTCGCACGTTGGCGGCAAAATTTCTGCAGCTATATATCTCATTGCAGCCACCCACTTGCCTAAGTATTGGAGAAGAAAGGAATTAGTTTTACCAGGTGGCATGCAAGACTTGATCCCTGGGAAGATAGCACTTCTGAATGTATCTTCTTTATATGGTGTAATGTTTTATTAGTAAATTCCACTTGGTATATTTCTTTTCCAATTCATGAGATGTGCTGGGGGCATGGAATGGCTTTGCTACTTGCTTAATTGTGTGATTTTGTACAGGTGTCTTCATCTTTCTGAGATAAAGTTCACTTTAAAGTTCATCTTTAAAATGGAAAACTAATAGATACATTCACTCTTATTTTTGAAGATTGACTTAGGGAATAATATGCTTTTTTGTTTGAAATTTTGTTTTCTCATTATAAAATTACTTGTTTATTATAGAAAATACAGAGAAATTTGAAAGCTACAGAGAAAAAAAGTAAAAATCACTTATAAACACCATTTACGGACATCCACTATTAATCTTGGCAAAATTCCTTTTAAGATAGGAAGGAAGAGGAGAGAGGGAGGGAAAATGAGAAGGGAAGGAAAAAAAATGTTTTTTTTTTCACTTAACGTATTTTCTCATGTTATCAAAAGTTCTTTATAAACATTTCAATGTGCTACATAATATGACATCACACAGATGGATTTTTTTTTTAACCTTCTCTTGCTGTTTAACATTTTGTTTCCAAATTTTCCTGATAAGAAATAACTGGGACATCCATAAATCTTTGTCAGCATCTTTTCTTCTTAGGGACAGAACCTAGAAGTGGGATTACAGCAAAGATTTAGGACAGTTTTAAGCTTTTGAGAGCCAGATTTACGCTCTCAATGGTGTCAACAGAAATAATTCATAATCAATCTATAAATCAAAATTGGGGTGAGTTTATTGTGAGTTAACCCTAAGGACTATATAGCCCAAGGAGAGTACCTTCACAAAGGAAGGAAGCACTCCAAAGAAGTGGGGTGTACAGAATGGTTATAGACCGTCTTGGAACAAAGAGCATACATCCCACATGATAGGAATGTCCCTTAATAATCACGAGATTGCTTTGCTGGCACAGCAGGTCAGTGGTCTCAAGGTGAGCACAGCAGGTCACTAATTACTCCTTAATTTTTAGGAAGAGATGCTTATCCTTAAAGACATGCTGATATGAGGGGGAAACTACATCCCTATCTTTAAGGGCATCATTCTTGTCTTTGGGACATTGTAAATGGAGATGTACAATGCCTGCTCAACAGGCCACGTCAGGCCCTTTTGGAAAAACCAGGTCAGGCCCAATTAGTTTTAAACCAAATGGCTTCCTCATATACTCCAATATATCCTATCTCTTGTCATTTATTCATCAGTGGCTTTATATGAGAATATTAATATCACCTTCACTTTCACTAAGTATTTAGGTTAAAATTACTTAAATGTTTTACAATAACTTGGATTAAAGATATATACAATCCCAGGGTATACAATAAAAAATGATAAGCCCCTTCTCACAATCCCAACCCTCTGAAGTTACCAATATTAAACGTTTTGTTCTATATCCTTCCAGATCGCATCTTTGATTTTTTGCCCTCATATATATACATTAAAAATTCGAACAATTATTTCTGCTGGATAGACCCCTAGAAGCAGGATTGCTGTATCAGTGGATATGAATTTTATAAAAATATCCAACGAAAATTTTTTTAAGACTTTTTTTAGAGTAGTTTTAGGTTCATAGCAAAATTGAGAGGAAGGTAGAGATTTCCCATCTGCTCCCTTCCCCCTACACACGCATAGCCTCCTCCATTATCAACATGCCCCGCCAGAGTGGTACATTCATTGCAATTGATGAGCCTACATCCACACATTGGATTTGCGCTTTAAAAAGTCTGATAAACCTCCCCTCTCCACTCCACCCTTCAAGAAACCAATTTGCACCAATATACACGCACACCAACAGGAAAGTGGAGACAAAGTAATAATAATAATACATGCTCTCTGTAGAAAATCTAAAAATAGAGAAAAGGACTAGGAAGAAATTTAAAGTTGCCTGTCAGCCCCAACACCTAGAGATAACTGTATTGACCGTGTGGTGAATTTAATTTCAGCATGCAATTTCTACTGAAGTGGATGTTTGATACAGAGAAAAATCTCCCTCCACGTTGGCAAAGCAGAAAATACGATGGCGAAGCCAGAAAGAATTCCCTCATGTTCCTCTTTCCCAGGAAGTTAAGTGACAAATCTCGACTCTGTCCGGATCTTTGAAAAAATACAATTTAGCCTTCTCATCTCCATGGCAACCCAAGGCTCCTTTAGCAACGCTCGGCTCTTGAGTGATTGACAGTGATGACATCCAATAGAATATTCTCACTGGCCATTTCCAACCAATTAGATGGAAGCGGGGGCCTAGGGGCGTTTCCATCGATGCAAAGGCGGGTAGCGCCTGTCTTACGTGTGTTTTGCGTCATTAGTGTGCGCCAAGGGCACGTTTGGCCCGCGTCGCCCTGGGGAGCGGCTCCTTTGTTTTCAGGGCCATGAGCTGCGCCCGGGCGGCGGCCGCTCGCTCGCTGTGGCGGCTGTGCACGGGCGCCCGGCAGCTTCTCTCAGGTAAAAGGCATGCGCAGCCGCCCCGCGCGCTGGGCCGGCGAGCCAGGGAATTTTCGCCAGCGGCGTTTGCCGGAGAGGTCACGGGGGACGCGTGTATACGTCACAGCGCTGCGACGGAGCGCGACTAGGAGGCTTGAAGCGCGGGGCCGCCGGCGGGGCGGGGCGTGGGGTGCGCTGCGAGAAGGCTGGTAGGGCGAGGGTGGTTCTCCGCAGGGATGCTCCCGGGCGTCCGTTCCGGGGGCCGCTTTGGGGAATGACGTATTTGCACGTCTGTGCTGTGACGTCACTGCAGGTGTGGTCGGCGTTCCGGGCTGAGGACAGTGGGCGACCTTGAAAGCTCAGTGTCCCACGGTGTCATTGTAGCCTTCGCTCAGGGCCTCTCCAGGCCAAGGGCGGTCGTTTGACCAGCAGCATCGCCCCCCCAACCCAGCTTGTTAGAAATGCAGATTGTCAGGTCCCATCCTTGACCTCCGGGTCGCTGTGCCTGTCTCTTAACAAGACCTGCGAATGATCTGTGTGCAGTGTAAAGTTTAAGGAGCACCAGGGCGGGGGGAGAAGCGTGAGATTCGGAGTAGGAGATTTGGGTTTGGGTCCTGGCTTCTCTCCTCGTTTCATCTCAGAAAATTGTGAGGTCATTTTCTCAAAGTTAAATCATTCGTGTACCATCTTCAGGATCTTTGCCTTATAGCAATACCACTTGTGCTTTTAATTACTAAATGTGTTTTTTCTATAGCTGTGTTCCATTTTTAAATAATGTCACGGAAACTAAATCCTGAGGGTAAACGGAAAACCAGTATCGCCTGCCCAAAATAGAGTAATAGAAAATACGCTGAAAACAAAAAGGTACTAAATTATATTAGATACTGTTGCTTACCGAGGCTTGAACACAAGACTGTCTTTCTGGTAAAAAAGGGAGATCAGCAGGGGTTAGGAAGGTGTTCAAAATATACCAGCTGTCAGTAGAGACAGCCTCCTTGATGAAATCAAAAGGATTGGAAGAGAATTGAAAAGAGAATAACTCATTACACTGATGTTGTTTAATGCATGTCCATAGCCACTTAAGATCTTCCCATACTCCCCTTAAAACCTCCTAGGTACCACCATTGGGATGTGTTTCATACTTTGGGAAAGCATGAATATAAAATGATGCATTTGAGAGCTGCTAGCACTGGGCCTTAACTTTATTTTATGTTGTTTTAAAGTGTGTAACAATACAGGCAAAACTCAGGACTGTTGAACATGAACTTTAATGTTCCTTCGTTGAGCCAATGAGCATAACAGAATAAGAATCATTCTTTTCATTTATAAAGTTACTTTGCTTCCTATATCTTCTCTTCAGGATAACTCAGTAAGAAAAGTTTTATTACTGTATGTTTTCCCTTAAAAAGGACTAACCTGATTATTGCCAAGTTTATATTAAAAATCAGGTTATATTAACAACTGGATTATATGCTAAGTAAGAAAAGGTGATTCTGTATTTTAGAATGCAGTTTAAGAGTACATCATAAAGGCATAAAGATATTCAGTCTTTGACCCAGTAATTCTATTTCTGAGACGCTAAGGAAATAACCCCATTTATGAAAAGCTTCATATTTATTACATCATTATTTATATAGAGAAGAATTGGAAATAACCTAACTGTGTGACAATGGAAGTAATGTGTGATACTGGCTGACCTATTATATAGCCGTTAAAAATGACATTTACTCAGAAAAAGGCCAAAATAAAATATACTCAAATTTCAGTAATGATTACTTCTTACTGGTGGGATTATGGATGATTTTAATTTTCTTCTTTATAATTTTATATATTTTCCAAAGTTTCCACCATAAATAACTTGTAGTTAGATAAGAAATTTATTTTTAAATAATGCTCAGAATAAGTTTAAGGTAACTGAAAAAACAGCATAACAAATTGTACATAAAACATAATCTCGGTAGGAACACAAACAGGAGCGTAAGGAGATACGACAACTGTTCATACTGATTGCCTCTAGGGGGCAGCACCGTGGGGGATTTTTGTTGATTTCACCTTCCCGGTTTTCCAACTATAGTGGGAGAAGAGTATGTGTGTGTGTGTGCACATGTGCACACAATACTAAGAAAGTCTCCATTGCTTGCAGGATTTAATTCACATCCCTCAGCATGCTCTCCATGCCACAGGGACCCCAGATGACATTTTAAAAATGGAGCTATAATTCACATGCCATAAAATTCACCCTTTTAATTTGTACGACTCAGTGGTTTTTAGTACATTCACAAACTTGTACAGCCATCACCACTATCTAATTTCAGAACGATTTTACCCCAAAAGAAACCCTGTGCCAATTAGCAGTCACTCCCCATTTCCCCCTTTCCCAGCCTCTGTCAATCACTGATCTACGTTCAGTTTCTATTAATTTGTCTATTCTGGACATTTCATACAAATAGAATCACACAATGTGTGGCCTTTTGTGTCTGGTTCTTTAACTTAGCATAGTGTTTCAGGGTTCATCCATGTTGTAGCTTCCATCAGTGCTTCATTCCTTTTTATTGTCAAGTAATATTCTATTGTATGGCTGTACTACATTTTGTTTATCAATTGACGGGCATTTGAGTTTTCACTTTTTGGCTGTTGCGATTCATGCTACTATGAACATTCCTGTACAAGTTTTTGTGTGGACATATGTTTTCAATTCTTTTGAGTATATGTATACATATGTTCCATATCTATGAGTGGAATTGCTGAATCATATGGTAACTCTATTTTTAACTTTTTTTTTTAATTTTTAATTTTTTCCTTTTTTCTCCCAAAGACCCCCAGTACATAGTTGTGTATTTTTAGTTGTGGATCCTTCTAGTTGTGGCATGTGGGATGCCGCCTCAACATGGCTTGATGAGCAGTGCCATGTCTGTGCCCAGGATTCAAACTGGTGAAACCCTGGGCTGCCGAAGCGTGGCGCATGAACTTAACCACTCGGCCACGGGGCCGGCCCCCTATTTTTAACTTTTTGAGGGATTATTTTGTGAAGCAGCTACACCATTTTACATTCTTAGCAGCAACATATGAGGGTTTCATTTTCTCCGTGTCCTCACCAACACTTGGAAATATCTGTCTTTTATTATAGCCATTCCAGTGGGTATAAAGTGGCATCTCATTGTGGCTTTGATTTGCATTTCCTTAATGACTGCTGATGTCAGGCGTCCTTTCATGTGCTTACTGGCCATTAGTATATCTTCTTTGGAGAAACAGCTAGTTAAATCTTTTGCCCATTTTTAAATTTGGTTATTTATTTATTGTTAAGTTGTAAGGGTTCTTTATATATTCTGGACACTAGTCCCCCAGATATATAATTTGCAAATATTTCCTCCTATGTGTTGTCTTTTTACTTTCTTGATGGTCTCCTTTGAACCACAAAAGTTTCAATTTGATCAAGTCCAGTTTCTCTCTTTTTTCTTCTGTTGTTTGTGTTTTTGGTGTCATAGTAAACCACTGCCTAATCCAAGGTCATGAAGATTTATACCTAAAAAAAAAGAAAAAGAAATGCTGATTCTGAATTGTCTGAGATTAGTGTTAGAGACAGGACATGTGTTTTCTGCCTCTAGCTCCATGTCCTTTCTGTGGTCCATTCCATGCTTTTTAAAGATACCTTGCAGAGATTGTGAAAGGATAGAAATGGCAAATATCACGATACCCAATCCTACACACGTTCCCCCCAAAATTACTTGTTAGTTGCCTAAATCTGGAAAGTGGTGCAGTGCTGGGAAATAGTCTAGTGTGTTCTGAATACGAATAGAATCCGACCCCTTCCCTACTGGGAGTCAGCTGTGTGTTTGAACGCATCTGTCGCTCAGCCTCTTGCTGTCTCTCAGTAAATGTTTTTGAGGAGTCCTGAGTTGTCTCTGAAGTCCTTTCCCATTGACGCGGCTTGGGGTGGGAGTAACAAATGAAAGAACAAGCAGACAAGGTTATTCTGAGAAATTCAGCGAGCTCATCATTTTTGGTTCCTGAGCCTCATCATCGGCAGGGAGATCAGTGTGATGGAACCTGCAGTCTGTGGACCTGGAGGCAAAAACTTGTGACAGGCTGCCTTGACCTTCTCAGATGGCTAAAATCATTCTCCACGTAACACCATGACTGTGGAGCACGGTGACCCGTTGTCTGATGGCACAGAGCTGAGCAGTACATTATACTTTGCAGAGCTCGGACTCTCCAGTTTCTTTTTTTTTTTTTTTTTTCCCGAGGAAGATCAGTCCTGAGCTAGCATCTGCTGCCAATCCTCCTCTTTTTGCTGAGGAAGACTGACCCTGAGCTAACATCCATGCCCATCTTCCTCTACTTTTTATATGTGGAACGCCTACCACAGCATGGCGTGCCAAGCGGTGCCATGTCCGCACCCGAGATCCGAACTGGCGAACCTCGGGCCGCCGAAGTGGAATGTGCACACTTAACCGCTGCGCCACCAGGCTGTCCCCACCAGTTTCTTGAGTCAAACATGCTCCGTGCGATGGAGCAGGCATTGCGGGGGAAGGAGTGCATCAGAGGTGGGTCCCCGCGCCTCAGCACTCCATGCGCACCCTCCTTTGTTTAGAGTGTGGCATGTAAAACCCCATCCAGTCGAAAAGTTCAAGTGCAGAACCACCCCGAATTCCACCAAGCCTGCCCCGTCACCCTGTGTCCAAAGCATCGGCTGGGAGGAGCATCCATGGTTTTGAAAGCTCCCTGAGGGGGTTTGGTGCACCCGGGGCTGGGAAGGAAGTGAGCTGGGAGGGGCGGGTGGACTGGAGAGCTGTGCCCGTCTAGAGGCAGCTGCCACGCTAAGTGCTCGGTCAGAAAACAGGCTCGGTATTTCCAGATCCCATACACTTAAAGTGACACCAGAAAGCCAGAAATCTTACTAAAGAGGTAAAATCTCCTGTGCTTTAAGTGTTGGTAGCTAATTCACTTTTTAAAAAAACACTGCAGGTTAAACAGAATACACTTAGGAGTGTATCCCACCCATGGGGAGCTCATTTGTGACCTTTGTTCTAAGGGCCCCCCTTCTCTCTGTGAAAGGAAATGTCTCAGTTTTACCTGAGAGTAACGAAGAATAAACACTTGCATTGCAGCTTATGGAAGAAGAATCGGTGTCAGATTTTGCAGTTCAAGAATGACCTTAGACAATATCAACTGGGCAGCTGTGGATCGAATAATCCGGGTGGATCATGCAGGTGAATATGGAGCCAACCGCATCTACGCAGGGCAGATGGCCGTCCTGGGCCGGACAAGCGTCGGGCCGGTCATTCAGGTGGGCACTCCTGTGTGTCTTTCAGCCTGACCTCCTGGACAGGGGTATCCAAAGGCCTTCAAGGAGCGAATCACATTCGCTCATGCATCCCCAAGGGAGGTGCTGTGCTCCCCAAGAGAGGGAACATTGGTTATTGCGGGGGGGCAGGGAAGGAAGAGGGAAATGCACAATATTCTTTATATGTACAGTGTCTCTGTAGTGTTAAAATGTCATGGGGGGGCGGGCAGTAAGGAACAAAGGGTTGACATTCACTGCATTAGGTGAAAGCACTGGCTGCCCAGAGGTGGTGATCCTGCCCCCAGCGGAAGTATATTGAGAGGCAGAGGGAGGGGCCTGGGCATCATAGTCACACAGATCCATGGTTCTCTTCCATCTGGTACTTGCATGACCTTGGGAAGTCACATGAGGACTCTGGGCCTCCATTTCCATATCTGCAAAATGGGCTGCTAACGCCTACCTCATTGGCTCTTCGAGAGGAATAAATGAGCTGGTGTGGAGCAGCTATTTCAGTGCCTGGCATGTAACAGACACTCAGCACAAGTTACATTGCCTGCTCTGAGTCCTTGGGCAAGGTGCTTAACCTCTCTGTGCCTCACTCTCTTCATCTGCATGATGGGGATAGTAACAGTCTGTCCTTCACAGACTCAGTGCGTTGCCTACAGAAGGCTATCGGACAGCACCTGGCACCTAGGAAGTGCCGTGTGTTGACTCTTGCTGTCATGCTCCCTTTCCCTCCGATGGAAGTGAGACTTCCCTTCTCGCAGCCTGGAAGGGAGTTGCACCATAGCTAATGTCCTGCCCTCCCCCTTTTTATGGGCTCCTGAAGCATCTCGTTTCTCGTGGGTGGTGACCCTCGTGGTATCATAGGCACGTGGTGGCTCTGAGGAGCCGTGGTCCGTGGCACGCTTCTCTGGAACTGAGATAACAGGCTCGTGTCTTGGTTCATTGGCACTCTCTTCTCTGTAGCCAGGATTCTTTCCAGTCTTGCTTCTTCCTTTGGTGACTCAGCCTGGAGCGGCAGTTTGCATCCCTTCTCTGTTCCCATTTTGCTTTCTTTCTCCCACGTGGACGTGGCGTGGAGCTTCCTTGGTATACAGCAGGCGGCCTCTATGGAATACTCGTGTTCTTACTTTTTATGTTTCTTACAGAAAATGTGGGATCAAGAAAAGGACCACTTGAAAAAGTTCAGTGAGTTGATGGTTACGTTCAGGGTGCGGCCGACGATTCTGATGCCCTTTTGGAACGTGGTGGGGTTCGCACTGGGTACGTGCCCATCCGGAAGAGCTTATGCGAGCTTAGGGATCTGGGAGGATTAACTGGCCGAAGTCCCGATTCCACAATTCTCGCTGTGTCCTCTTACAGCCTTTTTATTTACTGACTATTTTCCTAACGTTAAGTTCCCTGGCTTTTTTGTTTTACTTAAATTTATTTAAGATAGAGTCTTTACACCAGTACTTTCATAAATAGAAGGGACAGTAAAAATAAACACAACAGAGGGAAAAAAAATCTAGAGTGATGCAGGCGTGGCCGCATGTTCCCTGATAAAGGTTCAAAGCCTGAGTTTGCTCACTCTTCATAAGGGAGAAGCGTAAATGGTTCAGAAAAATCAAAGACAGACTCTCCCCACGTGAAGGCTTTCTCCTTGTCTTACTCAGAGGGTTAGAAAGAGCATTAAAAGAGAAAAGCATTCTTACTGTGTGACTCTGGGTTTACCGCTGTGACAGGCTACCACCTGAAACAGTAGTTCCCAACGGGGGCACGTTGCTCCTGAGGACACTTGGCAAGATCTGGGGACATCTCTGATTGTCACAACTGGGGATGCTACTGGCATGTAGTGAGTAGAGGCCAGGGATGCTGCTAAACATCCTACGATGCCTGGGACAACCCCACCACCAGGAATCAGCCAGCCGCAAAGTCCGTAGTGGCGAGGCTCACAAACCCTGACCTGGCTCGACTCCCTTCCCGGTCTCTGCCCCATCCCTCACTGCTCTGGATTTGACCCTCCAGGCGCGGGCACCGCGCTGCTCGGGAAGGAGGGCGCGATGGCCTGCACGGTGGCTGTGGAAGAGTCCATCGCACATCACTACAACAACCAGATCAGGACGCTGATGGAGGAGGACCCCGAAAAGTACAAGGAACTCCTGCAGGTGATTGACTGCACTCTGGAAGGGGGCTGACGTGCAATTTGGTAAGAAGAGAAAACAATAGAACGTTAGGGAACGATGCGGCCTTAGACATCTAGGTCAGTGCCTCATCTTGAAGGAAACGGAGGGGCCGCTGAAGCCGTGTGCTCTGGGCACGTGCTTGGGCAGAGCCGGGACCAGAACCCGTAGCCCAGGCCTGTACTCTGTCCTCTTCCAGGCCTTTGATAGGTCCTGAGCAAATGCTGCGAGCATGAACCCTTCAGGGTAAGTGAATGAGCAAGTAGATGTCCTCTGATAATTTTCCACTGTAAGTAAGGGACCGTTGAATTTTTTTAAGCCTGTATCAGAGGTTGGTGAACCATGGCTGTGGCTGCCCACCTGTTTCTGTGAGTGAAGTTTGATTGGAGCACAGCCACGCCCATTCGTCTGCACGGCCATGGCTGCTGTCCCCTCTCCCGTGGCAGAGATGACTGGTTGAGACAGGGGCCTTCCAGCCCGCAAAGAAAGTTTGCCTCCTCTCAGACGATACTGCAAGGCCTTAGCCTCCAAAATAAGACAGACGGCAGGAGAGCTGAATGCTGACCCGCTTCGATTTCTTTTCATTTAACCAGGTGATAAAGAAATTCCGGGATGAAGAGCTTGAGCACCACGACACAGGCCTCGAACATGACGCGGAACTGGTGGGCATCCCCCTACTGTCTGCCCGGGCTGCTTTGGGGCCTGACTTGGAAGGTTGGGGGGCGGGAAAGTTTCTGTTCCCAGAAAAGTAGATTTCAAAGTGACCGCAAAAGAAAGTAAGCCAGAAAGCAAGCCCGCGCTCTGTCCCCAGAGGGATCTTGTTTGTCGCTTCCTCCCGTACCCTCCGCCCCAGCAGCTGCTTTTCCCTTCCAGCGAGCAGCTGGGTGATTCACATGTTTTGGCAGAAGCAGAGGCATTCCAATCTTTTGAATAGGTTTTTCTTCCAATTTAAAATAAATTGTGGGGCCAGCCCAGTGGCACAGCGGTTAAGTTCTCAAGTTCCGCTTCGGCGGCCTGGGCTTCACTGGTTCGGATCCCAGGCGTGGACCTACGCACCACTTGTCAGGCCATGCTATGACAGGTGTCCCACATATAAAGTAGAGGAAGACAGGCATGGATGTTAGCTCAGGGCCAATCTTCCTCAGCAAAAAAAAAGGATTGCCGGCAGATGTTAGCTCAGGGCTAATCTTCCTCAAAAATAATAATAATAATAATAAAATAAAGTAAGTTTTTTTCTTAGATCTTATTTCTTATCCAGAGAAGTCTCACCCCTGCCATGCCACGCTAGCGTCTTACAGCTGAAACAGAACATATAACATGTTTCTTTTGCTTGCTTCTTGTTTTTAACAGGCTCCAGCATATGCCGTTCTCAAGAGCATTATCCAGGTCGGATGCAGAGTGGCGATATATTTATCAGAAAGATACTGAAGTATGTCCACTTCTCCTTGTCTATGAAAGATGATGGTAATTTAACAAGTGCCACTGGCAGAAAAGGAAATGCACAATTATTGTTACGTGAATTTTGTTGATAAACGGCGAGAGGTTTTTTTTGTTAATAAAACTCTCCAGGTGTGGATTCTTTTCTCTGCTGCATCATGCCATAAGGCTGACGGTTCACCAGCTGCATTCTAGTTTCAGCAAACAAAGTTTAGCCTTGTTTGGTCCATTGTTAATTTTTCCTCAAAACATCAAGAATGAATCATTAAGAAAGTAACAGGAGGGGCCGGCCCTGTGGGGCAGCGGTTAAGTTCCCACGTTCTGCTTCTCGGCGGCCCGGGGTTCGCTGGTTCGGATCCTGGGTGTGGACATGGCACCGCTTGTCAAGCCATGCTGTGGCAGGCGTCCCACATATAAAGTAGAGGAAGATGGGCACGGATGTTAGCTCAGGGCCAGTCTTCCTCAGCCAAAAGAGGAGGATTGGCAGCAGCTGTTAGCTCAGGGCTAATCTTCCTCAAAAAAAAAAAATAAATAAAACTTTTAAAAAAAAGAAAGTAACAGGAATCTTCACGAGAAAAAAAAAATTGTTGAGTTTACTGGTGACAAGAGGTAATTTAAAACATGAGGGCATTTAAGATGGAAAAGCAAGACTGTCACGTCCATCGGGTGAGTGGAGGACTGTCGTCGTTTCCATTTTGAATTGTAGAGTGAGAGCGGGTTACTTCCGTCATAGAATATACTACATTGTGGATTATTTAATTGTCTGTGATCAGGTGAGGCTGTCTTCTGATACTAATTGCGGTAAATTAAACACGGGAGAGGAGAGTTAGAGACACCCTTTGGTGCTGGGTTACACCCACACGTCTGTAGGAGGGTTTGTGCCGTCGGTTAACAGCTGAAAAGCCAAGTTCCTGTGCAGTTGCTGCGTCGTGCCTGCGTTATTTTATAAGTGTGCATTTTATGTCTTTCCTCTCTCAGACTGTGAGCTCATGGAGGGCAGAACGTCTTTTCCGGTTCCTGGTACATTTAGCCGTACTGTACACAGGGACTGTATGAGTCCCTATTCAGAGAGATGATTTGCAGCTATTTTCTTCTTTGCTGTGGGTCTTTTTTTCACTTTCTCTTTTTTAATCTTTATTTTTATTTTTTGTTTTGTTTTTTCTTTTTTGAGGAAGATTAGCCCTGAGCTAACATCTGCCAGCAATCCTCCTCTTTTTGCTGGGGAAGACTGGCCCTGAGCTAACATCCGTGCCCATCTTCCTCTACGTTATATGTGGGATGCCCACCACAGCATGGCTTCCCAAGCGGTGCCATGTCCGCACCCGGGATCCGAACCGGGGAACCCCGGGCCGCCGAAGCGGAACATGCGAACTTAACTGCTCTGCCACTGGGCTGGCCCCTTTTTTTTTACTTTCTTAATGGTGTTCTTTAAAGCACAAAAGTTTATTTTGGTGAAGCCTAATTTATCTGTTTTTTCTTTTGTTGCTCGTGCTTTTCTGTTGTATCTGAGAAACTGTTGCCTAATCGAAGGTCACACAGATTTACCCGTATGTTTTCTTTTAAGAGCCGTGGAGTTTAGTGTTACCATTTAGATTTTTAGTCTGTTTTGAGGTCAGTTTTTGTATGTGCTGTGAAGTAGGGGTCCAAACTCCTCCTTTTGCATGTGGCTGTCTAGCCTGTGGGGTTTTTTAAATCATCAGCAAGAAGCAAAGAGAATGACCTTCCTTCCATTCACCTGTACACTTTAAAGGGTGAATTTCACAGTGTGTGAATCTACGGCAATAAAAAATAGAGGATTTATAGTTTTATGTGTATTTGGAAGCAAACCTAGGCTGTTGACTGGGGAAATGGTGTGTTCAACGTGCCACCCTTCAAGCCAGCAGAGCACATAGAGGCCGTAGCTTCTGAGATGCTGGCGTTGTTCCCGCCCTCCTGTATCGAAGCTACTTTCCTAAGGTTTGCAGTCTTTGAAGACACACTGTACAATCCCGATTAAAGGCCCAGATTCGCTGCTGTTTGTTTAGCATCCCCTTCAGAATCCATGGCTGCTGTCTTATGCTTCTGAGATCTTCCAGCACAAGACTAGAGAGATTTTCTGATTCCTCCTTTGATTTAATTCCATTACAGCTTGTCCTCGTGTATTCACGAGGTAATCTCGTCTTTCCCTTACTTCACTGCTCTGACCTTTCAGGGGAAATGTGATTTTAAAATTGGACCCCATCCAAAGATGATGCCAGGATGACAAAGGGTGTTATTCTTGCAAGCAGCGTAGTTCCAAAGAGGACATCTGCGCTGTCTAGTTCTTTGTACGTGTGTTGGATTTCCTTGCTACTCAGAGTGCGGTCCACGGACCAGCCGCAGTGGTGTCGCCTGGGAGGGTGTTCGAAGTGCAGAATGTGGGGCTCCTCCCCGGAGCTGCTGAATCAGAATCTGCATGTAACAAGATGTGGTGATCTTAAAGTATGTCCACACATTCCTTGATGCTCCCCTGGCCTGGAGTGTGGGCTGTACTTAAGTGACTTGTTTCTAAGAAACAGAATGTGGCAGAAATGATGGCGTGTGACTTCCAAGGCTGCCAGGTCATGTAAGACATTACAGCTTGTGCCCTTCCCTCTAGGATCACTCTCTGGGGGAAGCCAGTGCCACGTGGTGAGGACACGCAAGTAGTTAATCTCTGGAGAGGGTCTCATGGCCAAGAACTGAGGCCTCCTGCCAACAGCCATGTTTGTGTGGCCTCTCGGAGGTGAAGCCTTCAGCCCCGACAAGCCTTCAGATGACAGCAGCCTCAGGAGAAACCCGGAGCCAGAGTCACCCAGCGAAGTCACGCCTGCATTCCTGACCCTCAGCAGCCACATTAGATAATAAACGTTTGCTGTTTGCAGCCGCTGGGTTTCGGGGTGGTTTGTTACCCGGCACTAGGTAACTGATCCAGACATCTCCAGGTGGTCTGGAAGCACATTCATGTTTGAGAAGCACGGAACTAGATCTTGAACTCCTGGAAGGCAGAGGCCATCGTAGTCATTCCCGTATCCTCAGAGTTTGGCACAGTGCCTGGCAGTCGCTAAATTTTTGTGCACCAACCACAAGATTGCCCTGTTTCTAAAAGAAGTTTCTGTAAGAAATAACGCATGTGTGCACATGGTGAAATACTCTGACAGTGCTAGAGGGTCTTCACAGCGACAGGGGGTCTCCCTGCAGACAGCTGGAGTAAGTAAGGCAAACCTGGCCGCTTGCCTTACTTTGCGGTTACCTGTTAGCAGTCGGCCACAAACGACAGTACGTTGTTTTCTTTCTTTTTTTCTCACTTTTCAGAATACCTCAAAATCAAATATCTGCGTTTAAAAAAAAAAACAAAAAACCTTCCAAACTTATCCCCTAGAAGTGACCATTAATAATAATTCATCGTGTTCTTTCCAGACTCTCAAAATCTGTCATCCATCCGTGTCTGTGTTTGGGTTTGGGTTACTCCTAAATGGAAGAACATTGTGCATCTTGACCTACCATTCGTGTTTTCATTTAGTGATCTGTGTTGGCCATCTTTCCCAAGTCAGTACGTATAGATCTCCCTTGTTCCTCCAATTGGTGCAACACTCTTCCATGTGACAGCAGAGCTACAAGGAGGACCACCACACTGCTGGCCCCTCCCCACGGGCTGTCCTATCTGCCTCCTCCTGAATGCTCAGGCCCCGCACTGGACACGTGCTCACCTGTCCCCTCGAGGAGGAGGCGATGGAGGCAGAGTCCTCCAGGGGATGGAGGCCTTACCCCCTAGGCCGCTCCGCCTCTTGTTTCCTCTCTTCCCTTATCGGTGGACGTTTGGGTTATTATTACAGAATTTGGGGACCTCTAATGCTGCAACGGGCCCCCATGGAACACAGTCTCCATGGAGTTTGAGGAGGAGGGACCCCTCGGGGCTCCTGACCTTTTGCAGATGGCATACCTCCTTGAGAGTACGATAAGCGCGCTGGAGCCTCTCCCAGGCCCTCCTAAGACCTCTTGATCCAGGCGACCCGAAAAGGAAACATGACCTTTCCCAACCGAGGGGAACAAAAGAAAGCTTTCCTCAAAACCGCGCTCTCCAGCTCTGCGGGAGCACAAAGCGCTTTTCCGCGGACCATGTTCATTTTCAAAGCTTTAAAAGGCCCCTCTTGCCCTCGGGGCCGCGCTTCCTCCCGCGGCTGCCTCCCGACTGGCAGCCCCGCCGGGGGGGATGCTGCGCGCGGCTCCTTTGAGCCCGGGCGGGACCCGAACGCCCGCTTCCTCCCGCGCGGCCACCGGAGGGCGCGCTCGGCCCGGACTCCCCAGGCGGGCCCGCCGCCAGCTCGCCAGTCCTTTCCAGAAGGTCGCAGGGACACCGCCTGGCGAGCAAGGCCGGCAGTGGCTACGTGTAATGCTAATCTGGCGCCAATAATCCCACCTCCTGGTCCCCGCTGGTGGCCGGGAGTGGCATGTCTCATTCGGGCATTCGACCCGAGCGTCCTCATCAGGGAGGAGGCATTCCCTTCATCAGGGAAGGGAGAGAGGGAACCCGGGGGGAGGCTGCCTCGTCTCTGCCTCGCTGAACGACATGGAGAACTCAGCTCCCAGCACCGAGCGGAGGCCGAGAGGCAGCCCTGGGAGATTCTGCACGGGTCCCCCTGCTCGCACACGCCCTCCCCCGCCCCGCATGCGCAGCGCTTTTCCTGCTGGAGGCTCTTTGCCCTGCCACGCCCTCATCTCCCAGGGGAAGTCTTCCCGGACCCCCTTCTCCCCTCCCTACCCCCTTGGGACCGTTGTTACCAGCTGGCCTGCCATCTCTCCAGCCTGGCGGGGAACTTCTCCAGTTCCACTGGGGTCCCCAGCACCCGGGGCGTGGCAGGCCCGCAGCCGCCGTCTGATTAACTCATCTAAGCTGAGTGATCACGCGGACTCATAGCATGGCCCAGAAGGAATGGAGACAAGCAGTTACAAGTAGGGACAGACCAGCCCGATCTCAACATGAACACGCTTGGAAACTTCTCGATCAAAGTCTGAAGTGGGAAAGGAAGGTCACCCCTGTGCGTGTCCCTCAGTCCTCTTGTCCATCTGCATCCGAACCGGGCATGAGCCTGACATTTAAGCCGTGACCATGTCTCAACTCTTCTCTTTGGAAATGCTTTCTATTTATTGTCTCTGTGTTCTGTTTTTTGAGAATTTCTCTTCTTGATCCTTTCTTCTTTTTTTTTTTTTAAAAAAAAGAAATCTCAATTCTATTTCCAGGGTTATGCAGAATTTCCTAATGCTTAATCCTGGAATTCTTAACTAGGCATGCACATAAGAATAAACTCTTAAGATTAAAAAAAAAAAAAATTCAGATGTTGCTGCTCCACCCCGTCCAACGGAAGCAGAAGCTGCTGGGCTGGGCCTCAGGGATGCTGTATTTGAAAAGCTCCCACGGGGGCTGGACGTGCAGCCCTGGTTCAGAATCAGTGGCTTAATCCCACAACGGCCGTTAAGCTAAATCTACCCCCAAAAGATGCTTTTCTCCTACTTTTCTGGGGCTGATTCAGATTTCCATTCTGTCCCACTTTTCCTGCACTGTTTTCTGGTAAGATGTGACTTGTTCCCATTTTCTCCAGCCCATTCAGTGCCATGACAGCTGGAAACATGTTCCAGACCATCAGTAGATACAATGGTGAAGGGCAATGCTCCTTGTTCTGCCGGGGGTAGAGGGGGCAGTCTTTGTGGTATTTTCCATGCCTAACTTCCAAGTGACTTTAACGAAACGATAAAAAATTGTATGGAGATGCCATCTGTTGCACTTACTTGCCGATGTTCTGTATGCATGTGTGTTTAAATAAGACAACACGGGCGTTAAAAGAATAACTATCTTACTTATTTATTCGGCTGCTTTAACGGGGCATATGATTCTAAGTGCTGTGGAATAAAAGAATTTTAGAACATGAAATTCCCATTCCTCCCTTAGATCATTTAGAGACATAAAACATCTCACCTTTGGTTGTAATAGGAAGTTATTAGCTCTGTTAAATGAGAAATGAAATCATTTTCTTCAGGTATGGTTTGATCCAGGAGCTCAACCCAAACACCTGGCTTCTCTCTCTCTCCTCTCTGTTTTCCACGGTATTGAAATTAGGCTCCCAATGGCCTTCCTGATGTGTGGCAGCAGAATCACTGTGGGACTTCCACACCTCACCTCCTAACATCCCTCCACCCACAAGAAGGGTGAGGGGCTTCTCCTCTACCTTCTGCGGAAGAGAAAGAACAGCGTACTCCCAGAATCCACCACACATGCCCCTCTCCACCTCTAGCCTCGTTTTTCTCTAATCAGGTCACAGTCCTGGCCCTGACCAATCACAGTGGCCTGGGGGATTGTGGTGCTCTCATTGGCCAGGCCTGGTCACGTGGTCACCCCCAAAGCTGGAGGAGCGGGACAACTCCGCCCGACCCACGTGGGCTGACAGTAGGGCGGCGGCGCTTCCTCCCAAGAAGAAGGGAGAACAGATGTTGGGCAGGTGCCGAGGCCAGATGTGCCCTGAGCCCCGAAGCTTGTGATGGAGGCAGGACTCCCGTGGATGTCGCTGGGGCGGCGGGTTCAGGATGGCCCCGAGCAGGGAAGACAGAGACCAGGGGCACAGTACTATGGGGCTCCCCTCGAGGGTGGAGGGGACCTGGCTGAGGGCTCTGCGGGGACCCAGAGGCAGCGTGGCATGAATGGTCTACATGCCCCGGGTGTGAATTCTCGCTCTGCCACTTACCAGGTATTAGCTAACCTCTCTGTGCCTTCATCTCCCCACTTGTGGAATGACTGCACCTGCGTTGTCGTGGTCGAACCTGCAAACAATCCACGAGGAAGCCGGTCACAAAGGACCACGGGTTACCTGATTCCATTTGCGTGAGATGTCCAGAATGGCAAAGTTATAGAGACAGAAGGTAGGTTAGTGAATGCCTAGGGCTGGGAGTGATGGAGGTGGCGGGGTGTGCGTGTGTGTGTGTGTGTGTGTCACAGCTAAGGGATTCAGGGTTTCTTTAGGGGGTAATTAAACTGTTCTAAAATTGACTGTGTGATGGTTGCACAACTCTGTGAATAGACTAAAAGCCACTGAATCGTACACTCTAAATCGGTGAATTGTGTGGTGTGTGAATTCTCTCTCAGTAAACTGTGGGTTTTTTTAAAGGTGTATGGTCATGCGCCCAGCACGTCCCCTCTGCCTGCCCCGTCAGGCCTGGGGGTCACAGCAGCTTCCGACTGTCACAGGCCCTTGGGGCTTCACCATTTATGAGGTTTCCGTTCCCTTCATCTTGCCCTCGCCTTTCTGAACAGCCCCATCCTTTAACTCCCTGCAGTTTCCCCTTTTGAGAGTGCCTCTCCTTCCTGCCAGGGCCCTGGCTGCACAGAAGGGCCTCTCCAGAAGCAGAGCAGAACCTGTTGGCTAATCAGGAGGGACTTGTGATGGTCAATTTTATAACGTCCACTTGACTGGGTCGTGAGGCGCCCAGACATCTGGTCAGACATTATTCTGGGCGTGTCTGTGAGGATGTTTCTGGATGGGGTTAACCTTTGAATGGGTAGATTGAGTAAAGCAGATTGCCCTTCCCAATGTGGGTGGGCCTCGTCCAATCAGTTGAAGACCTGAATGGAACAGAAAGGCTGATCCTGCTGAAAGTAAAAGGGAACTCCTCCTGCCTGCTGAACTGGGACGTCGATCTTCTCCTGCCTTTGGCCTCAAACTGAAACGTTGGCTCTCCTTGGGTCTGGAGTCACCAACTTTCGGACGAGACCTCCCCCATCGGCTCTCCTGGGTCTCCAGCTTGCCCACTGCAGATCTGGGACTTCCCAGCCTCCGTAATCACATGGGCCAGTTCCCTGTAACAAATCTCTTTCTTTCTCTTTCTACATCCTATTGG